CAGTAGCTGGAGAGTAAGAATCTTAGTGGTGAAAAGAATAGGCAGGTGTATTGCTTGACTTGGACCCCCAATCCTCTACCTCCCCTGTTAGTCTTATCAGTTTTGAGTTTGCAGAACTGCATGTCTTTTGAAAGCAAAAGTATTTCCTTACATACTGAATGGTTACTTTGTTGTTTGTGTGTTTGTTTTTGTGTGACATATTGCAAATGCATTGAATTGGGCCCTTTGTCGATGGGCAGAAGTTTGCTGTGTTTTTTATTTCCAGATCCTGTCCCTATTTATTATAGACAGTGGTTTTTTTCAGGGTTGTTACGGATGCAAAAGGGAAAGAAAAATTAATTTGTAAGCACCCGAGGATATAGCATAACTTAGGATGAAAGGTGTGCATCAACTGCATGAATTGTGATTTCGACAGTGGTATAATATTGTGGAGGGAAGAAATGAAATGGTGAAGGAAGTGAAAGAAATACGGAGTTTAAGTACCGATTTTTGTACCCTTTTATTACTGTACTTGTACCGCCAAAACAAGCAGCATTCACATCTGCACACATTAAAGTGTGTCCACCTGACCAATTAAGAAGTAAACTCTTGTAATTTTGATATTTCTACGCAGGGTACCTTTAAAAACCAATTAAAAACATGGATGTATATTCAGGCCTTCACTCCTGTCAATACTTGACTTTTCTTTTATTCTTTCTTTATTTACTACTTACTCTATTTCGTATTAATTTGTTATTGGATGTCTTATGTAAGGTTTTTGTGTTATTTTATTGTTTTTATGTCATATTGGAAGCTGCCTTGAGTGGTCGTATAGACCAGATGGGCGGGATACAAATCAAGTAAATTAAAAAAAAAAATGAATTAACATCTTTCATAATAGCAGAAAGCATCCTGAGTGAGGTATCAGGTTTGGGGCCAGACAGTGTGTATCTCTGGAATGTATATTCTAGAATTATCAGTTTCCAAGGGACCAGGAGGTTATCAGGCCTAAGCAACCTCCTTGCCCCAAAGCACAATCCCTCCCACTCAACAAGAATTTCCTTTATAGCTTTCAGAGACTTTGGGATCATTCCTGCTGACCTAGCCATATATACAAGTAGTTGTGCAGGTTTTGTTCTAATTGTGGGGCACAATACTAATTTCTTAAGGCACATTAGCTCCACATCTATAGTCTAAAAAGCTGGAAGATCACAATGGAATGAAATTAAGTGAGTTAACAGGACTGAATCATGGACCTCCAATGAATCTGAACAATTAAATATAATTGGACTTGACTAATTATACTGCTGCTGTGTTTCTTAGGAATAACATTTACATGCAAATCGCCGACAGTTCAGACAACTCTGTTAAGCAGAATGCACTGGACATCTCAGGCAGCAGGTGCTGGGGTATGGAGCTGTGTGTACCTGAGAGCAGTCTTGAGCCCCCTGAGCTATCCTGATATCCTGAGGTGCAAAAGAAGGCACTGGTTCATTGTGAGTCTTGAAGTAAGATCCAGCTGTTAAATCCAAAATTTTTCTAGTTGGAAGGAGCCTATAAGGCCATCGAGTCCAACCCCCTACTCAGTGCAGGAATAGAAGTCAAAGGAGATCTGCCAGCTGGTTGTCTAAATTTCTCATGATTGCCTCAGTTTGATGGTCCATCACATTCCCTGTTCTAGCCCACCTTTGGATTTTAAATTTTAAAAAGCCAAAAAATAACATTACTACTTGTTCCATCTGATTGTTCAGAACTTGTTTGAAACAGTTATTGGGGAAAAGTGTTAGGGCAAAAGTTTCTTTTTTCATGTAGGCACGTTAATAGTACATAATATATAGAGTAAGACAGTAGATAGTAAGATAGAAATACAAGGTTTAGTCACCATCTGTTTATGGTACAGTATATTGTTGGCATTTTGCTCTGCTATAGGCAAACATCGCTTCCATCTGAGCCAGTGCGTGATCATAGTGCATGTTGATTTTCAAGGTATAAAAGTGAGACTTGACCATTCTGTTGACTGACAGCCTGTCAGTTAGCTAAAATCCTGACAGAGCAGAAGGAAGAAATAAGTTTAGTTTCATCCAGTTATTTCTGTTTCTTTTTGTCAGTTCTTCAGTTGCTGCAGTTCTTTAAAAAATATAGAAAATGCAATTACTAAAAGCAAAAAACCCCCAAAATGTGCAAATTCCTAATCACAAGACCATACACTGGATTTTATTTGTAATAAATTGTATCATATGTAGCAGCTTCTTTGTAAATTGATATACTTTTAAAATAATTATTTTAGATGTTCCATCTCCTTGGCTCTCATGGGTGAGTAAATTCCACAAAAATTGTTGGGACCTACTAGCAAATGCATGGGCTCAGTGTCCAGAGCTGGCGTTTATCATATCATTTGAATTACAGAATGTAACTGAATTACGTGAGAGCAGGAGCTTGACTAAAATGTTCTTCCAGGACAGGATACTACATTGAAAGGGAAGTGCTTTGACATACGTGCAGTTATATTTTAGTGCCGTCAGAGCTTTGCATCTGGACCTTGAGACCACATGAAACAGGCCATGCTTTCCGAAAAGGCCAGAGCTTTTGGCAGCTGCCTTCCCCTGACTCTCTATCTCTTTCCTCCCATGTTCTCCTGCCGAAGTGACATCTCTTAAGTGTGCAAGTTCCTTGACTAGTTCTGATTAAAGCTGCACGCAAGCAGATGCTTTAATCCCTCTATAGTGCTAAGCCCGTGCAGGCATAAACAAATCATGAGAGCTTTTCAAGAGGGTGCTGGTGCCCCAAGGAAGCCATTTGTCTCCAGAACTCACTTCTTGGAGATTGTTTGTGGAAATGGAAGGATTTTTTTTTCAGGGTCTGTTTCTGGTGAAAAGGGCAGAGCTGTGCATTTTTCATAGGAGTGTGCTTATTAGAAGGCTGCAATGCTTTATAGTTTCTCTAATATCAAGTCCCTCAATTTTATTTATTATAATCGTTATATAATAGGATATTATATATCATTAACACACCATAAAATAAAACCCCCTAACAAATCAAAAAGGGGAGGGAAACATATCTGGCATCAAGATGGTTAGACAGAGAGATGAAGTTATATATCAGTGTAAAGTATTTCCCTGTAAGTCACCACAAGACAGCGGAGTGGCTGGACTGTTCCATTTACTGTAGCAAATGAAAGCATGCCACAACATGTAGAAGTTATTTCTTGGTGATTTGTTCTAGCAACCTACAAGAGTGGTTGCAAGACCAGATAGGCAGGGTACAAATGAAATAAATAAATAAAACTACAACCTTGATATCTCCATTAACGTTAATTGCCAGACCTAATTTCTCTAGCTAAAGATATTCTCAGCTTGACCAATTTCCATCCTAACCACAAACCATAGAAAATTTACTGAGGTGTAGCATTTCATTTCCTCTTGTTAATAATAAAAGTTGTATAGTGTTAATTATTTGACCATTCAACTTTTTTAAAAGTTGGACAGCGAGTCTTCAGTTATCTAGTTTGTCGTGTATAAATGGACTTACAAGTGCAGCAAAGATATTTAGAAGAAGCATTGCCCATTTGTTGGTACTTAACTGTTTTTTCTGAATAATAAAATGAGTGTCTTAGAAAAGGACAAGTAATTTTTAAAAAGGAAAATAGCATATTTTAAAGTAAACTGTACTAAGAAATATAGTGTACAGATATATTGTAGAGAGATACAACTAACATTAATGAACAGCTACATTTAGCTCATCCTTAGCTAGAGGTATATTTCCGTCCCTAGGCCCCTATAGTGGGGTTGGCGTGTTCGTTTAAATCCCTCATTCCCCCTGCAGTTGGCCTTATTCACTGGGGATAGAGGTAGGGAATGGGCTGCTCTCACAAATGTTGGAGCTTTCAAGATTAAATTGAATTATTTATCACTGGAGTTGGACATCCTGTGTAAGACAAGTCCATAGGTTCCTGGATAGTCTTTAATTTGAGCTGCAGCTGTTCTTCCACTGGGATAGTCCAAAGCTAAAAACAACCCATTCCATCCCTAAACACCATGATCAAGTGGCTTGCGTCCTGCAAAATTTGAAACTGCCATCTCCATAGAACCATACAACTAGACTCCTTTAACTTAGTGGGACTTGCTCCTGTGTAGATATGCATAAGATTGCACTTAAAAACATGTTTCCTTTTTTTCATTGACTTCATTTGATCTATTTACAGTACTTGAATCCATTAAATCCTATGTTGGCTTTGTATAATCGAGCTATCACTTTGCTATCAGATGCATTATTTATAAATCAAGATTGATGGATTTCTCTTCATATTAACATATAGAAAAGCATGGTTATCTCATTTGTTTTCTTTACCTTCCTTTGATTATTTTCTTTGATGTGTTTGTTTTTGTTAAAACTGATAGGATGGCCAGTTTTCCAGATTTGAGACTATATTTTGTTACTCTGTTCTAACCTGCTTCCTATGAGCTTTAAAATGGAAACTGTTGCAGAAAACAAAAGGAAAGACAAAAGGGGTGGGAAAACCTTAGATACCTAAATAAAACTATACCAAAGTGGTTGAGCCAAACAAAACACAACCGTTAGCTCTAAAATCTTAAGTGATACAAATGTAATAGCTCCGTACCATTTCATAGCTTTTCTCCAACTTAGCAAAATTAGCTGTCACCCTGCTACACTATAAAGTTTTGAATTTATACATCGGTGTGTGTGTGTGAGAGAGAGAGAGAGAGAGAGAGGTGTGTGTGTGTGTGTGTGAGAGAGAGAGAGAGAGAGAGAAAGAGAGAGAGGAGGGTGGAGAAGGGAAAGTGGTCATTTGACCAAACTGCAGGTTAATTGGCTTAGTTTTAGCCAGAGAATGAGAAAACTACATTCCATTAATAAGGAAGATCTACATCGCTGTTATGAAAAGCGTGATTCCTTTCTACATGTGATAGAGCTCTGAACCATCCTTCCGTAACAGCTGAGGTTTGTTGTTTGTTTGTGGCTGAAGTTTGAATTCCCTCCCTGAAAGATGCACTCTCTCCCAGTTTTACAGTTGCGGCTGCAGCAGCGAAGAAGCCGAGAGCAGCTCACCAACCAGCGAATCATGCCACGTGAGTAATTTTCCTTTCTCGCCATCTCTCTCTTGCCTCAGCGGGCCCAGGCAGCCTTAGGTGAAGGCCATGCTGCCTACATCACTGATATAGTTCTGCACTTGTGGTGATGATTTCTGATTCTAAAGCAGGGCAGGATGAACCTGTACAGGTGCAGCACTCCCACCAACACAGCTCCAGTGTTACCCTTGAAGGAATCCACTCTCCTGCAAGGTGTTGGGGAGGAGAAAGCTGTGGCAGAGATGTATCTGCCTCCACACTGCCCACTTTGAGGGGACAGTAATGGCGTGACAGTGATTTCCTCCTTCTGTTAGGAAGATCAGCTGGGTTAAGTTGAGCAACTTGGTTAGCGCTAAAGACTGCATGGAATTTTTGCCATCACTTACTCAGCTTGTTCCTGCCATTACAAAGTTAAGCAAAGTTCTAGATGGTTTACTTGCATCTCCTTCCCCCTGCCTATAGCATTCTAATGAGCCAATAGACTTCCCCAAAAACTCCTTGGGAGCTTTGGGTAGCATATTCTTGAAGCAGCCTATTAAAAATCCATTGCATGGCCCAGTTTTGGGGTACATAGGGTACCACACACAAAAAAAACACCCTATGAGGTAGGTCATTATTATTCCAATTTTTTGCAGATGGGGAAACTGAGAGTGAAAGAGATAACACCTTGCCCAAGGCCACCCAGTGAGTCCATGGTCAAAATAGGATCTGAATAAAGGTCTCCCAGCACCCTCTCTACTGGATCACTCTGACTCTGAGTCACACACAGTTACAGCCTAAGCTTTTGGGCGCAGCATGTTGTGAGCTTCTCTGCTGTTGCTTCCCTCTCAAGCCCACTTCCTGCAAAAGGGCTCTACGTGGTTGGCACGGAATGTCTTTTGCTTCCATTACGAATGGTGCATGCAGCCGTTTGGCATTTTCCTAGGGCATTTCAGGTACAGGTACAGCATGTGAAGCATGGCAGAGTGGATCCACACAGACTGTTTATTTAATGCATTGCCCGACGTTCTTGTCGGTTTTATTCCTATTCCCACTGTCAGAATGAACTGTCTTGTTCTGCAAAAATGAGGTGTCACTGGTGTTTGCCAACTGTCAGGAGATGCTGTGTCACCCCATAAAAGTTTTTGGTTTACCCCCTAAAAGGCATTTTATTTCTGAAAGAGAGGAGGGAAGGAAGTGACAAGGACTAAGGAAGCATGAATAATAGCATAAGTTTGAGGCAAACGGCCTTACACCATTTGTAAGACCTGAGCAATGGATCTTCATTTTTCCCGTCCTCCACAGTTCCAAATGTTATTTATTTTTCTAGGGTCCAGTGCCTTGACTTAGATGAAGTCTTCATCATAGTTGAAGTAAGGGCAATTGCATTTTTGTAGTTAAATTTTGAAAAAGCATATAGGAAAGCAGCCAAGAAATGGGCAAAATATGTGTATTCAAAAATCTCTCTCTCTTTCTCTCTCTCTCTCTCTGTCTGCCTGTCTAGGTTAGACTAACCAGAAACATGAGATTCATAAACTACATCAAAAACCCTTATTCATTTTTCCCCCTACATATAAATTTGATATGGCTTTTCCAAATGTATCCAGGAAACTACAACACCTCTAAAAGCCTAGAAGACATACAAGGCTTCCCCATCCCTGTTAAGGGGCGGGGGAAGGTCATCAGTTCTTTTAATAGCTGACCACTATCTTTTTGGTGTTCACATATTTATCAGGGATGGTGTCCCTGAGAGGGAGGTAGAGATTTTACACCTAACCATGTCCTGTTTGTAGCCACTGCATAGGAAATAACAAGGAAACAGCTCATGTTGTAACATGATTAATGCAAACTGGGTGTGTACCTGGATATAATAAATTAGTGATGTTACTTGACCTGCAGTGTTTAGTCAGTTGACTACTTAGGTTGATAGGTTTAAATATTTTTGCTCAACTATGCATTCCCAATTAATTGGCAGCTGCGTGTTTGTCTGTCAACCTGTCTTGATATCTGTATCATCATCTCCTTTTCTTAGAAATTTGTGTAAAAGTTACAGATGGTAACCTGAAAAGAAGCATTCCCTCCTATGTCAAAGAGAATAGTGCTCTTTTGGTTACACTTATATAGGCTTTGTTGAAGGAAAAACTGTTCAGAATGACTGAGGGTTCCCCCCCTTGCACTGTGGACATGGGCAGATTAAATCAATCAGCTAAACTTAATATCAATAATTAAATAAGATTCCTTTAATTGACCAACATACCTCAGTATTTCTGTTTTTTTAATTTGCTACCCTTTTAGTGCATAAGCAGAGGGGTTTAATTGACCAACATACCTCAGTATTTCTGGGTTTTTTTTTTATTTGCTACCCTTTTAGTGCATAAGCAGAGGGGTGAGTTTGTCTGCCAGCAAGACACATATTTGCTAAACCCCTCTACCGCCACCACAACACTCTCCTTGAGCCACAACTTGCAAATTTCATGTCCTTCATTCTAAACCCAAATGACTGTAGTCTTTGCATTTTCTCAGTACCGGGACAAAGACAGGTCTGCAGATATTCAAATGATGTGTTGTCAGGTTATGTGATGATTTGGGGTTGTCCCTGGAGGAATACTTGTTTTCATTATCTTTTGGTGCAGAACCCACAGAATTTTAGGGTTCCGTGTTCCATATAAATTGGACGATGTAGAGTAACAAGTTCCTTTTCCTTCCTTTTGCACTTGTTTTATTTGGCTGCACATCAGTAATTGTACCGGCTTCTGTGACTACTTTCACAGTATCTGAAAACAGAAAAGAACTTCGGATGTATTAATTTAACCAGAATCAATTTCATATCCTGCCTTGCCTTCCCGCCCAATTGTATTTTCTCTGTCTCTTAACAGTTGCTTTAGATGCTCTGATAGTTTTCTTTCGTCACTTACTTTCTCATTTGTGTCTTCTCTCTTTGGCCTGTTGGGCTTTTCATGAGTTGTTGCTTGGGATTTGTGTCATCTCTTCAGGACAAATATCTGTCCTGTTTCAGGATCCAGTTAACAACTAATAAATTAGTTCATTGAATTGCGTCAATGCAAAATGACTCACGACTCTCACAACAAATCCATTTGATGAAGGGAGGTAACAATTGGCATGCAGGGCCTGGAGAAGTCATTAATTAAAAGCAGTTTGTTTGTTGTTTTTCTTTTTTATGTTCTATTGGGGGGAAAATGTAGAAACCTATAAATGTAGTAACTCAAAATGCAACACTCCTGGCCCTTGATTTTCCAGTGGAAGAGTTTAACTGTGCTTCCAGTTGTGTTTTGTTCAAAGATAACAAACAGTGATTTAACACTTACTAAATAGAGAGACCTGAGTTTTGTCCACAACCTTTATTTTTGGAATCTGGACAACTTTCAATTTATAAATAACTAGGCTACACTTTAGCCACGAGATAAAGTTCTTGGAGCTTTGCTTTTCATGCCCTTAACACATGATGCATTGTATGAATGCTGAGGTTCAGAAAAGATCCAGAAAAAGAATGAGATGCAGTTGAGCTTAGATGTCTCTTTGAAGCCTATGAAAACAGGGGCTGCTTCTCTCTTTTGATGGGCAAGATGATTAGAGTAGAGATTTACTGGTGACAGACTTACCAGTTGTAGTCAGGTGGAGGAAAAGAGGTGGGTTGGAACCTATTTGTCAGGATTCCTTTGGATGCTAGTCTAGAAGTGCTTGTTGGAAGGTCAGGATTGTACAAAGCAAAATGTCAGTCTCTAAAGAGAGAAAGGGTTTTGAAGGAAGAAGAAAGGAATGAGTTTCCACTTCAGTTGCCCCCTCCCTTGAAGAGTTTTCAGTATTCTTTCACATTTTAATACGATCCAGAATTGAACTTCATAGTGGAACAATGCAGATAGTAGTATTTTCATTTTTAAGCAATGTTTATGTCCAGCCTTTCTGCCAGTGAACTCAATGTGGTGTATAAGATTCCTTCTCCTCACTTTGTCCACCATGTGAGGTAGGTCAGTCTGAGAAAACGTGCACGGCTGAAAATTAATGAAAGAAAGTCATGCGCTCAATCTGTCGAGTTCCAGCCCATCTCTACTCTACTGCATTGGCTCCTCAACAGAGATGAGGGTCGTGAAACAGGAGTGGACATCTCCCATATTCTGTCTCTTTGTTGGCTCCAGTGTGGCAAAAATATGACTCAGGCCAAAGTTTTGTTAGTATATCATCTGGATCCAAAGATTAAAACATTTCTAGTGTACAGTTCCCAGAGTTCCCCAGGCAGTGTGGTCCACTAACCATGCTGGCAGGAAAATATTGAGTTGCACTTTTAAAAAAAAGAGTTTTTTCCAGGGTTTGTTCTCTGGGCATGAGTGGTCCTCACCGGTGGTTGATCTCAAAACTGGAATCCTCCTTGGCCAATCACTTTAAGTGCCAGAACATTCCATTGAAATCCATTGGTCCTGAATAAACACATTTAGGATCAATACGCAAGGCCAGCTCCTGCGTCTGTATCATCTCCTGAGCTTCTCACAGATACTGGACAGGCTGTGCTTTTCAGCTAGCCCACACACATTTTTCTCCTAACTCAGCTGTCATTTCTAAGCCATCTCCACATCCTCACCCCACACCCCCCAGTTAGATGATCATGTGCATCTCTGCTCCGCGCTCTCTTCCCCCATTTCTCCTGCCACAAGCTGACCTGTGTAAAGAGACAGGTTATTTCTGTGAGTTTTCTTCATTTGTTTTCTGGCTGATTTTATGTGGCTGTTTCTGTAGAACCTTGTTACGATGAGGACAATGTCTGTTTCTTGCTTTGCTCATTGTGCTTCTGTCTCCTTCTGATTGCAGCACTGAAAAGCTCCTCTCCCTTCCATGAGCAAAAGAAGAGTTTGGAGAGAGCCAAGGTAACCCTGGGTAGGCATCTGAGTGGGCGGATGAAAATAGTATCGCTTTAGATTACAACCTGATTCGAACACTGGCATCTCAAGGAAACCTTGTGAGGGGATGCAATTGAAATACTACTATACTCACTGGATGTAAAAGCAGATCTCACTGCTATATATTTCACAGGAAAGGGAGTTATATAGTAAACTTCTGTAAGGTACTAAACATAGGAACCAGGACATATTACACAAGAAGCCAAACATCCTCGAATTTACAGGCTGTGAAAAAAGTCCAAGGGTCAAACTGAATATTACAAATAATCTATTATTAGAAAAGATAATTCCTTAACTGCCAAAACATTTGAGTGCCACAGCAAAATCAATTTTTTTTTAATCTCTATCTTGCCAATTAGTTGGTTTTGTTTCATAATTTATCTTTGGGAGCCAAACACAGCTTTGTTTCCAGGCCTGACTTCTCAGACACAAAACAAAAGGTCAGATCATATAATCTGTAATGTATAGTTTAGCCCTCAGAGTGAAACCTAATGTCTGCATATTGCCCTTGTCTACTTGTGACACGGTGAAGTGGCTTTGGGCTATCAACCATTGTTCTTTCTCTAGCTGGCACCAGTTATCAGGCAGAGTTTAGGCATCGTTAATCAACGCTAATGGCAAAGATAAGATTAAGAGGCCATTTACCACCACCACCCCAAAAGAAGAAAAACTGGTGATCAGGTCTCATCTAGGACAACTGCAATACCTTCCTAAGCCATCTTTGCTACATACTCTCTAATCATCCTTGTCAGGGCTCTTAATTGAGAAAGCTTTCTCTAGCTGTTGCTCCTGTGCTTGAGCCATAGAAGCACCTGCATTGCTGTGTAGAACAGGCTGGAGAGCTCAGAGGGCTGGGTTGGCTAAGGAGCCAGAGGTCAGGAGTTCTCTTTGCCACTGTGCGTCCTCGGGGAAGAGCCCCCCAAAGAAGGGAATGATAAACCATTTCTCTGTACAATATATGTGTATAAGCGTCACCATAAGTCAGAGTTGATGTGAAGGCAATTAATTAATTAATTGCTGTGCAATTAATTCATTCATTTAATTTAAACTCAGTCTTCCTGTCTTGCAGAACCTAAAGCAGATGACAACATAAATTTCAAAACAAGCTGAGGTTAAAAAAAATACAATAAATTAAAATAGTGGCTGAAATCATAACTTTGCATCATGCAAATAGGATGATACCACCAGTCCACAACAGTAATATTTAATATAATTTAATTTTAATTTAATTAAAAGCTGTTTATCTCCCCTCCCTTTCAGGTTCTGAGGCTCCTTAGGGCTCCCCTTTGTGCTGGGGAAGCCTTTGGGAGCCTTGAGAAAGGGATGAGGAGTCTTTAATAGCCAAAAATGGCCACTGGGTCAGTGGCAGGGGACCCAGTCCTGGTGGTAAGGTCAGCAGTGGTGATTGTTGGCTATCAAAAAAAGGGCTCCCAGAGGCTTACCAAGGGCAAAAGGAAGCCCTTCGGGAGCCTCAGAACCTGAAAGAGAGGGGAGGTTAGGAAGCATTGGTCCCCAACCTTGGGCCTCCAGATGTTCTTTGACTACAACTCCCAGAAGCCTTCACCACAAGCTGTGCTGGCTGGGGTTTCTGGGAGTTGAAGTCCAAGAACATATGGAGGCCCAAAATTGGGGATCACTAAAGTAAAGGACTTCATGTCCACCATGACAACCACGGGGCTGCCTCAATGTGTCATCAGCCCGACACATGAGAAGGACCATACCTTGGACCTGGTTTTCACAACAGGACTGGAAGATGGTGGTTTGGATGTGGAGGGGCTGGTTGTGTCCTCATTGCCATGGTCAGACCACTTCTTGTTCAAGTTTAGTCTATTAGCTTCTTCTCCCCTCTGCAAGGGCAGGTGATCTCTTAATGTGATCCGCCCTTGGAGACTAATGGATCCAGATGGTTTCCTGAATGCTCTGGGGGATTATCTATCTGATATGGTTGGCGTTCCTGTCAAAGCTCAGGTCACCCTATGGAATAGGGAGATGACCTGGGCGATTGACACCTGGGTCCAGGAGGCTATGAACGCCTCTTTGAGAGAGGGAGTGGTCCCTATCGCCTTGAAACAGGTGGCAATTCGGCCACTCCTTTAAAAAGCCTAGGCAACTCCAGGCGCTGCTGGATGAAACGGATTTTCTGGATCCATTTCAGTCGGGTTTCAGGCCGGGTTTTGGTACAGAGACAGCCTTGGTCGCCCTGTATGATGACCTTTGCCGGGAGAGAGACAGGGGGAGTGTGACCCTGTTGATACTCCTGGACCTCTCAGCGGCTTTCGACACCATCGACCATGGTGTCCTTCTGGATAGGCTGGCTGGGTTAGGAGTTGGGGGCACTGTTTTACGGTGGTTCCGCTCCTTCCTAGCTGACCGTATCCAGAGGGTGGTGCTGGGGGACAGTTGCTCTGCCCCATGGCATGTATGTCCTGGGGTTCCTCAGGGCTCGATACTGTCCCCCATGCTGTTTAACATCTACATGAAACCGCTGGGAGAGGTCATCAGGAGGTTTGGGCTGAGGAGTCAGCAATATGCTGACGACACTCAGCTCTACCTCTCGTTTTCCACCAATCCAGGTGAGGCGGTTTCTGTGCTGAACTCGTGTCTGGACCTGATAATGGACTGGATGAGGGTCAATAAATTGAAACTCAATCCAGACAAGACGGAAGTGCTGTTAGTGGGTGCTTCGCCAGGCAGGCTGGAGGGCCATTTCCCTGCCCTGAATGGGGTTACAGCCCCCCAAGGGACAGGGTCCACAGCCTGGGGGTGCTCCTGGACCCCAGTCTAACTCTGGAAGCCCAGGTGGACTCGGTGGCCAGAGGCGGCTTCCTTCAGCTGCGGAAATTATACCAGCTACGGCCCTAGCTGAATGAGCGGAGTCTCATGACAGTTACACATGCACTGGTAACATCTTGTATAGATTATTGCAACGTGTTCTACGTGGGGCTGCCTTTGACGACGGTTCGGCGACTGCAACTGGTCCAGAATCGAGCTGCGCAGCTGGTGAGTGGTGGGGCTGCTAGAGAACACATCAAGCCAATTCTGTTTAAGTTACATTGGCTACCAGTTGCTGCCCGGGCCCAATTCAAAGTACTTGTTTTGACATATAAAGCCCTAAACGGCTTGGGCTCTGGATACCTGAAGGACCGCTTCCTTCCATATGAGCCTACCTGGCAGTTAAGATCTAGCCAGGGGGCCCTTTTGAAAGAGCCCTCCCTCAAGGAGGTAAGAGGGATGGCTTGTAGACAAAGGGCCTTTTTGGCAGCTGCCCCCAGACTATGGAACGCCCTCCCGAGTCAGATTCGTCTGGCGCCGACGCTGATGACATTTCAGTGCCAGGTCAAAACCTTCCTGTTCCAGAAGGCTTTTAATTGAAATAATATCAACTGTGGGTCCTGATTGAAGTTTTTAGAGTATATATCTTAATTGTATTTTAATTGTTTTATCTTTTTTACTGTATTTAAAATGTTGTAAGCCGCCCAGAGACCTTTGGGTAGAGTGGGCAGCATATAAGTTAAATAAATAAAATAAATAAATAAAATAAAGTAAATGTTGCAGTTGTAGGACTGGAGATTTCAGCCAGTATTAAATAGATTGTCACATTGAAACAAATGCTAAATTTGTGCAGTTTAAAAAGCACCTAAGAACAGCAACCAGAAGAAAATCAATACCCAAAGGTCCTTTTGCCCTCATCAGTTGAGTGGCAGCCAAACGCCTATCTGAATAAAAATGTCTTTCCTTGACAGCAGAAGGACAGCTAGAGAACTGACCAGAGGAGGCACACCCAGCTGTATTGTGCAGAGCAGATGCAGGGAAGGATGATGACTCATCCAAAGAAAAGAAAAGAAAAGAAAAGAAAAGAAAAGAAAAGAAAGAAAGAAAGAAAGAAAGAAAGAAAGAAAGAAAGAAAGAAAGAAAGAAAGAAAGAAAGAAAGAAAGAAAGAAAAAGCCCACTGCACATTTAAAAGTCTTAAGTTTAACTGGTATATGTAGTTAAAAGGCTACCACAGAGAGCTAGAAAGATGCTGAGAAATGATTACCTGACAGGAGATCAAAGCTGAGCAATTTGTGCTCTTCCAGGCATTGTTGGGTTGCGACAACCATCACTCCTAGCCAGCAGATCCCAAAGGGAGGAATGTTGGAAATGCAGTCCAAACAGCATCTGGTTACATCCACAAGTTACTTGTGGGCTATCTGGGCCACTGGTACATAGTACTTCGTGAAGTTCTTGAAATCTCAGTTGCCTTGAATTGTTCAGAAATGATAGACTTGTTGTCCAGTCACATTTACTAGACTCTCAGGTGCACTTTATGCCTTATTTCCTGTCCTCACTCTGTTTGTAGGACAATAGATTCAGGTTAATCTATATGGATGCATATGCAAAAGAACCTTATTTAAGACAGGATACCAGTTTATTTGATGCTTTATCATCTGAACGATTATATAGACACCAGAAAGAATAGGAGCTCCTTTTCAAAAATTAAGGTAGTTTGTATGTAGCCATTGATAATAAACTTACCCACATATAGGAAAAATGGCTATATTTCATGGCTTGGTATGAGTGTCCTGAAAAAAAAGAAAGAAACATGTCTAATGTAAGGAAGGATCTATAGCCCCCTGTGAAAAATTAATGTGCTTGGGAGACTTCAAGCAGCCTGAAGTATCTTTGAAGTGCTGTATATTTCAACGTTCAGGCATAGGTTAATATCTCACTGTCTCTCTTCAAAGGCTTTCACTGGCTGGTTGCCTGGAAGAAAAACGGATTATATGAGTCAAAGGCCTTAAACTGAATGCGTTCAGAGAGCAGAAGTAGAACCAAAATTGTATTCTAAGCCTTTATTGAAAGTATTGCTGGGCGGTGGGGTGGGCTGGGTGAGGTGCGGGATCAGAATATTTTTTAAGTGGTTTAGTTGAAGGTTGTTTGAAAATCTTTGTTCACACATAACATGAAAGTACATCAATTTAATTACTGTGGATTTAAACGAATACAGCAGTGTTTACCTAGATAGAAAGCAGCACAGGGCTAGAATTCGATTCATTCTAGTTGCTATGCACAGGACTAAAGTAGCCTTTTACCATATGTATTACAAGCAAAAACCAAATTAAACTGGATTTAGTACATATTGTAAGCACAGTGTTTCTCTTGTACCAATTACAGGTAATGTTCATTCTGAGATTTAAAAAAAGAAAAAATGCAGCCTTTTAAATAGCCATGTCTTAGCTATGAAACATTCCATATTCAATAAAAAAATGTTTTATTATTTCACTGACAGTTAAAACCTGTCTCTTTAAGCAGACTTTTAATGACTTGACTCCCTCCAAGATCCTGTTTTTTTGTTCTTTAAAGTCATTCCCCCCCCAAGATTTAAAATGCCTTTTAATTATTATTGTATAATCAATTAATTGTTTTCAACTGTTAATTGTTAGTGTGACTTGTTTTAATCATTGTGAGCTGCCTTGGATCTCCAGAAGAAAGGCAGCCTAAGAATAAAGCAAACAAATATATTAAAATGTTTTTAAAATTAGATACGTAGATTAGACCAGATCTGACTGCATCTTCTCAAATAAGTTCTTCATCCTATAGTTAGTATAGTTATGATCTCTGTTTTTACATTCTGTAGACTGAAGAGTATTTAAAGCACAAGATCCGCAACAGACCTGAGCAGGCCGAACTAAGTGATATGCATATTTTAAAGGGTAAGAAGAACCATTCTTTTGTGCAAAGAGATTGCACAGTATTGTGACCACTTATGTGGCCCAAACCTTATTGCTCCCTCCAGTTTTTAATTTGGAAGCTTCTTGTAGCTGTGCCAATTCAACTATGGGAGGTGTTTTTTCAACTGTGGGAGGTATTTTGAATATGGCATCCAGTTCTTATTTCAGCAAACCATGGGCTGATCAAATCCCAAGGAAGCCTAAGGGCCCTGCTTCATGGCTGATTTGTAAAAGTACCTTTTTCAAATGTACTGGCTCTCAACTTTATTTAAGAAATGTTTCTTGTACTTCTGATGTAGTACCCAGTACTTCTGATGTAGTACCCAGTTCAAACAAGATAATAGACATATAATTTACCTACCTGCACAAGATACCATGTTTGTCAGCATCACTTTCAGTGTATTATGCACAGCATGTGGCTGCCCATGATCTATAGTCCACACAGATGTCATGATGATGACAGAAAAATTCTTCTCATGATGAGGGTTAGCTGAATTATGTTCTTAGTTCATGGGGAATCTTTTGCAGATAAAATGTATTGTGAACCTGCCATTTTGTTTAAATTGGACGGGTATCAAATCAGCAATGGGAGATACTAATGTACAGGCATATGATTAATCCTTGCTCTTCTCTAGCTGTGGTTTTTACTAGCTGAAATTCAGTAGTAAGTTGCAATTAGAGTAGGGCCATTAGAATTTATAAAGGTGTTGACTCACCAAATTCCCATTGATTCAGTAAGCCTACTCTGGTTGCAACTTATAGTGGATTTGAGCCATGGTGTATTTCTAATTGAATGCTTTGTACTACAGTTACATCTAGGTTCATATTTTTAAGGAAAGAACTGGCCTATTTCCACTCTGTATAAACTGTCTGGACATGACATTTAGTTTATGGGTATTTTTTAAAGTGATAAGAGAAAATGAAGATGTCATATTCTGGACTTATAGGATTTTATGCAATCATTTATATTTTTCACCATTGGCTTTATAGATTCAGCTACAGAAGAATCCATTCAAGCTACTCAGATGAAACTGAAAAGAGCCCGTCTTGCAGACAATTTGAATGAAAAGATTGCTCTTCGGCCAGGTCCTCTGGAGCTGGTGGAGAAGAATATCATTCCTGTTGACTCAGCTGTGAAGGAGGCCATCAAAGGTAATATCAGCAGAAGTATAATCACAGCACACCAAAGAGTCAGTGTGAAGAGATCTTTTTCCAATGTAATTCAGGGTTTTATTCATCCATCCTCTTTCGGGAATGCTGTTGACATCATTCCTATGAAGGAATGTGGCTCCATGTTGAAGAACTAGCAGAACACTGGTATCGTGGAATGGTTTCTTAGTGACTGGTCTATACTCCCCAAACCTAACATATCTCTTAGCTAACTGAACAGGAAGACACTTGATCAAAGCCAGACATAGCCCTGGAAAGATTACCGTGCGTAGCAGGAATCCTCCTTCCTTCCACTGCTGACCCTCCGTCTTCCAGCCTTGCAGGGCTTTTGTGATACAGCCTGTCTTTCCCAGCACTCTACTTATCAGCAGAAGCCAAGGGTCAAGCACTTTTGCCTGTTAGATTGCAGGATATTGCATGGAACACTTTCCAGGGCTCCTTGAGTATGTTGAGTGGCAAAGAAGCATTGTCTGGCATAAGCCACTCTGATTCTTGAAGAAGCAAAATGGGTACATAAAGAGCCCTTTCAATGCTTTTTTCTAAGTAGGTTGCAGGGCAGATTTTTCAAAAATAAGGACCACTCTAGAAAGAAGGCTTCAGTCTTGTGTTTATTTTCCTCATGGGTAACCCTCACTGAACGGGTTTTTCTTACTTGAGGGTAGACATGCATAATGTTGAATTGGAAGTTTATTTAACAATGACCCTTCAAGTGCACATTCTAAGTTTACAATGGTAAACTTATTCTCATCTGTAGTGAGTTATGTTTTGTAAGAATCTATACTTTTAAATAACTAAACATAATTAAAACAAAGAGAATGGCTTATATCCAGTTCTCAAAAATAAACCTACACCAAGAAGATTTTTTTAAAAGCCAGTGAAATGAGTGCTCTTTGGTGTGAGGATCTTATATCTGATTTTCTACATGTGAGTTTTTCTTGGAAATGCCGTGTCCCACTTGATAATCCATGGCTGAATCTATCTTCCTTCCCTTTCTCCTGCCTTAGGTACTCAGACAAACTATTCTAAATCTTCAGATGCCTTTGCATTTGAAGAAGACAGCAGCAATGATGGGATGTCTCCAGAGCAGGTCAGAAGTGAGGATTCCCAGGGATCCACAGAATCACCAGCAGGAACCAAAATTTCAGAAGCAGCATTCCCATCCATGACCGGATCAGCTCAGGTAGAACTGTATTTTTCATTGCATATGGTTCATACATTCATGAGACTTTGCCTAATTAAAGCCTACACTGGTGTAGTTACGGCGCAGAGTTGAATATACAATGGAAACAGACAACTTGGCATGCTGTTGATTTGTGGGTTCACTAAAGTTTAGGATTCAGATCAGAAGAGGGCTTCTAGATTGTTACTATTATTGCTCTTTATTACAGCTTCACCCTGCTTTTACAATAGTAGACGGCACTCAGGGCAATTTATAGTCAGCATAATGCATACTTAAAAAACAGCAAATAAAAACAAATGTAATCATAAGATCATTAAAATGAAATAAAACCAAACACAACCAGAACAAACATAAAAATCAGTTTAACTTCCAGTTGTGACTTTATTAGAGTAAATTAAACATTATTATAAGTCAGTGTCAAAGGATGTGTCTTCTAATTCTTTCTAAAAGCAGCAAGCTTTGGTGCTGCTTTGAAGAAGTGCTTCAAAGCAGGTCCTGCTTTCCCAAGAGCACTCCTGCTTGGGTGTGTATTTGTGTGAGTGCACACATCAGTTGGCCTTTTAGAGGCTATTAAGGCCCTAACAGGCCTATTTTCATCATTGGAAAAGAAGAAGTGACCTAAAATGTGTCCACCCCCCACCCCACCCCTATAGCCTTAAAATGGCCAGTTGCCACTTGGCTATTTTGATGCACTTTTTTCCATGGCGTGATCGGGGGGGGTGAGGGGCACATGCAGCTGGAGGTAACTTTGCCCATCCCAGTCAAGGCCAAACAACAGGGAAACAACTCAGTTTACCTTGTCTAAGTGGCTGTTCTGAAGGCTGCTACCAGGAAAACTGAAGACAAAACTCTTTGCATCATACCAGGGGACACTGGATTTACCTGAGTTTTGGGAAGTGTCAATCCTGAGCCTGGAGTTAGCCTGGAAAATGAGCTGAGTCCTTGCCTGTTTGGGGATATGGGTGAAGAAGATGAATTTGGACCATTTCTGAGTTAGTACAAAGGAAACAAGAGAAAGCTCATTTGTATCAACAGACAACAGTTTGTAGCATCGTCTATAGACTTTGGCCAGACTGAATTGAGGGTTACCTGAATCCTCTTTTTCCCTCCCATTTCCAGATGTTCTGGGTGTGATAATAGAGTTTCGGGGCATCCAGTTTCCTACACAGTCAAAGCCACCATGCAGAATATTTTCAAGTCAGCAGCAACCAGCTGGTTGTTTCCACCTAGAGCTCCTGCCATTTGCTCTCCCTCGTCCCTTTGACAACTTGCTTAGGACCATAATGCCAACTTTGCTATCTTATTTCTGATATGCCCCTTGTATTCAGTGTTCCTCACTCTCAGGCTTCGCATTAAGATTAAACATTTGACAGTTTTGGTTGAAATTTTATCTGTTTTCTAGTTTTTTTTCTAGCCAATGTGTGTTGATGACAGCCTTAGCGACAAATCTTAAACGTATTTGCACAAAAGTACTATTTGGTTTGATGGCTTCTTAGCTCTGCATGGGGCATCAGCTCCCCACTCCTGTTGTCTGCATTCCCAGGGATTCCAGTATTAGGGTTGCAATGTGGAATCTGTCAATGTCGAGTTCTGATTAGCTAGACATAGGCTGAAAGTTTATGGGAAATAAGGCTCTCAGTGGCTACTAGTCATAGTAGCTATGTCTCACTTCCAGTAGCAATGACATTGGGCTTCTGTTTACCATTTGCTGGGGAATGTAAAGAAGAAGGTGCTGTTGCACTCATGTCTTGTGTTAGAGGTGGCCATTGGCATACGGTTGGCCACATGACAAACAGAATTTGCCTTCACTCCAAGTTCACCATGTAATATTGTAGGATTAATAATGATCCTTGGGTGAAAACAGATCCCGTTTGGGGTAAAAACATACAGTCTGTGCCGAAATCTATCCGAGGGCACCGTAGCCGATGGAGGTCAGCCTCTAGAGGTTACATAAAACACAGGGGTATCCTGCAAAGGATCCCAAGCCACTGTTAACCTGAACGTGACATATTCTTGGCTCAGATTGCCCTCCTCCATTCCAGCAGCTTTGTTACACAGTGTACTTGGCATGGGGCACCTCCATTTTCCAAGCACTTATGGCAAAGAGCCCAACGATCATCCATTTGGTTTCTCTACTAACACCAGCCGAATAAATGCGATTGGTCTCAGCTATGTAGAAACATTATGATGGGGAATCCTGAGTCACCCGTAGAAAATGTTGATTGATTATGGCAGAGGCTGAGAAATTGGTAGAGGTTATTGATTTTTAAAAAAGCATACATGTGCATAAATGGTACATGACAGAGAAGTTTTAATTTATTGCTTGGCAGAATGGATTTAGCTGTCCATTTTTTTAATTCAAAGGAGTTCAGCAGTATGTAATCCCTTGCTTTCACTACTTTCTCCTATGTCAGCTTTAGGCCCATCTGCATGTACCCTTATCACCGAGGGATGGTTGCTTTTGCTACGCAACAATCCATGTTGGGGTTTTTAGACCTGCCTCACCTTTCCATGTCAATCCTCCTAATTGCATAGAAGGTTTCTAGGAACATCTGATGCTGGCAAAAACAAAAACAACCAACAACCATCCTACTGCATGTGTTCCATATGCTATGCTGCAGTAGACAGCAAGTTGTCTCTAGAGCAATGGTTCTCAAACTGGGGTCCCCAGATGTTCTTGGGCTGCATTTCCCAGAAGCCTTCACCACTTGCTCTGCTGGCTAGGATTTCTGGGAACTGCAGTCCAAGAACATCTGCGGACCCCGGTTTGAGAACCATTGCTCTGGAGAATCATCATATCTAGCATGCTACATCAAGGAAGTCAACCTTTAAATTAGTCCAAGTTAAAGGAAAGTACAGCATTATTTATTTTATTTTATTTATTTAAAATATTTTTACCCCACCTTTCTCCTTGAAAAGGACCCAAGGCACTTACAACAATGAAAGACAATATTTAGTTGAAAATAATGAGTGTACAACAGTGGTTAAAAGACAATATTTAAAGCTGATGAGTATAAAAAGGCACCTTACATCATTAAAAGGCAATATTAATGATAAGAACAATAAGTATACAAATATTTTAAAGAATGCTACTTGCTGCCTAGCAGTTTCTCTTCTCATGCAAGTAAGATGATTTTCACTGTGGTGTTGGAAAATGTGGTACGAGCACTAGAAGATTTCAGTTTTAAAGCCGAGGTTAAAAGAGGACTAGCTCAGGATCTCATGGCCTCCATGACGACTATTGCACTATTATGATATCATGATAACTACTTCAGTATTACTCTTTTCATCATAACTGTTTCAGTATACCATGGGGCTATCTCAATATGCCTGTGTCCCTTCATATTTATCAGGGCATGTTCCTGACTTGGTCTTTTCAATTGAGCATGGTGTCAAGTATTTAGGATTCAGGGGTTTCTGTCAGAATCATTTCCTGTTATGTTCAGATTGTCACTTGTGCGGCGGTAGTGAACTGATGAATATGCTGTCGGGGAAGTATTCCTGATTGCTCCTGTGGAGTTTCTGATTGACGTGGCTGGTCAAAGCTCTGGTCTCATTGCGTGACTATACTTTGCTAGAACACTTCTGCAAGCTCAAGTGTAGGGGGCACATTAATACAGTGGCTTCGTTTCTTCCCGCATAGTCTGTTTCAACAGTGCAAGGGCTCCGGTTGGCTCAGGTATGATTGTGCATGAAAGGCCCAACTGGTCCCACAAGCGTTGCTGGCCAATTGCTTCCAGTCGCAGCCAGAACCCCACTTGCACACCCAGCACTCCAGAAATTTAGAGGGAACATTGCCTTCTATGCTTAACATCTCTATGAAGTCGCAGACCAAGAGGTTATTTGGAGGGAGATCACTTCATGGTGATGACACCCAGCTTTATTCTTTTTTTGCCATCTGACTCATCAGAAGCCATGCAAGCTCTGAAATGGTGTGTGGACTCAACTTTCTTACGGTCGGGCGGGGGGGGGGGGGGGGGGGGCTCTAGTAAACTGAAACTGAAACCTGGCAAGTTGGCAATGTTGTGGCTAGATGTTTCCCATGGCTAGGGATCAAATATGTTGCCTGTGCTAGATAGAGCCACATTCCTCTTGAAAAAACAGGTGTATATTTTGGGAGTGCCGTGAATCTAACTTGGACATTGTTGGCCTTGATAGTTCAAAATGCCTGGATTCCTGGATTGGCGTACGCCGCCACTATCCCTGTCCCTGCTCTGGTAACTTCTAGATAAGACTACAGTAATGAGTCACTCTCTTGTATTGCCACTGAAGATGATCTGGAAGTTCATCTAGTGCTGGAACCTTGGAACCCGAATTCTGGCTCAAGGAGGTCACAATACACAGATCTTGAAGCATGTAGGAATTTGTGACTATAGTCTTAGAGCTGCAGCGGGCTAGTGAGGTTTGCTTAGATGAGTTAATTAGTAATAGCTCAGAATGCTTATAGTATGGTAGAAGAGGATATCTTGCACTTGGTTTTCCAACAAAACCATTCAGAATTAAACCTAGCTGGCTTCTATGTATGCAGATACAGTGGTACATCAACTTAAGAACTTAATCCGTACTGGGACTGCTTTCTTAAGTCAAAACGTTCTTAAGTCGAAGCACCATTTCCCATAGGGATGCACTGAAAACCATTTAATCCGTGTCTGCTGTTTTTCGTTCTTGAGGCGCTGTTCTTAAGTCAAAGCATTCGTTCAAAGGAGTAAAACAAAGGAGTAAAACTGTTTCCTTCCAGAAGGGAGGGGGAGTGGTCTAAGGAGCAAGTGACCCAAGGGCATAAAGCTGCAAACGGTCCCTTACAGAAAGCTGAGAAAGACCAAGATGCCCTAGCCTCCATGTGGTTATCTGTTTGTCCATCTCTGTTGGTTACTTTAAATACAGCATTTCTGTGCTTAGTTCAACAAAGCAGTTGTGCTTGCTGCTTATTTGCTTCTCGGTGCAATTCAAGGTGCTCGTGTTTACCTATGAAGCCTTCTGCGTTTTGGACCTAAATGCCTAAAGGAATGCCTTTTCTACCTATGCCTCAAGATCTACAAGGGAGCTTTTCAAAGTGTCTTTTCCACAACAGTGTGGCTAGGGAGAAAGTGTCTTGCTTATGGCACACCAGCTGTTGAACACCCTCTCAGTGGAGGTGCAACCAACACCATCTCCTTGGTGCTGTCAGATGTTTGTTGTTTACCTGGGAATTTGAAGCGTCTTCAAAATTTTTAGCTGCCTTTTTGTTGCTGTTTTTCCTGTTTTAAACATTATTTTTATTATGTATTTCTTCCCTGTCCTGATATCTTGGGATGAAGGAGAGCTTAAACCCAGTTTATCCAAATAAAATAGACAAATCTGCTTTTGGATAATCTTCTTGATGGTATTTCTATTGATGGTCATTCATAGATCATGGTATGCTCTCTGATTTCAGGGGCGTTCCCGTGGCTCTGAAAATGACCCTGCTGATTTAACAGCTCTGCAGAATAGCCAGCCAGAAAGTCCGAAACAGCTAAATGGGCAGCAGACGCCTCCTGTTGCTATGACCACATCTGCAAAGGTATGATCTTCCCCTCTTACCCTGTAGAAAGACATATGATAACTATTACCTTCTGGCCGGAAAACTACTAGTGCTGATCTGCAATGAGAAAATATGATTTTAGAAATGTCTGAGGAAGGCAAGCAAAAGAATTCATTGGCAGTGGCTGTATTTGGAGATGGGAGTTATTAAGATCTTTCTAGCTTGTGCCTCTTTAACTCACAAAACTGTGCAGATTTCATTTTAGGTGAATTACTTTAGTGAAAGAGGAAGAAAGATAACTTTGGTGGGGCATAGCTTGAAATCAGTTTTTTAAAAATCTATTTCCATCCAGGCAGCAAACAGGAGATTGAATGAAATGCCTCATTCATTTGAAATAGTGTGGCGGGTACAAATGTTGTGCTGTGTTACTTGTGAAGGAGGCATTTGTGTATTTTTAGGCGTGTGTTCCTGCAATATTTTTTTGCCGAGGCACCTGGAGAAGAATCAGGCTGATGTACCATTAGAGAAGTGTGTGCCACACCCATGCGCAGATATACACGTGCATGCCCACACCTGAATACAAAAGGTCGAGTGGGCTTCTATTATAATCTTGCACTCAGATGTTGACTCCATGTCCAGAAGAGCAGCCACTGGCTTGGATGGGCTTATTCAGAGCTCTGAAAATAAGAGAGAGCTTTCAAAAGAAGGCTGGTGAACTTTTAAGATGTGAAAACTGAATAAGTGATAGGTTTTGAATGGCTCAGACTTTCAGAGTTTATTTTTTAATTTGTGCAACGCAATAGTCAAAATCGTCAAGTGATAATAAGAATCGGCACAAGAAGCCCAAGGAGATGAAGCCCAAAGTGAAGAAGCTTAAATACCACCAGTACATTCCTCCAGACCAGAAAGCGGAGAAGTCACCTCCTCCCATGGACTCAGCCTACGCCAGGCTCTTGCAGCAGCAGCAGCTTTTCCTGCAGCTCCAGATCCTCAGCCAGCAACAGCAGCACAGGCATCCGCAGCATTTCAACTACCCTGGATCACATTCCTCTCAGCTGAAGTGAGTTGGTAATGGAAATGTCTCCTGAAGTCATCTTACCATTTTGTCCCATTATTGTTTATAAAACAAGGATTACATGCGAGGGCAAAGCTTACACAATACAGATAACTCATCACTAGAAGCTGAAATCTCTTAGCATTCCCTTCCATTCAGACCTTTATGACTGAGAAGTCATACTTGCAAATGGAGTAGCAATCACACATTCTGAGCAGTTAAAGGATTCCTTCTTCTATTTATGGGTTGGGCTGAATCATACAGTTGGCCATGAATTTAGGGCACGATCCCTTGATTCTAGCAAATTAGTCACTGTTAAGTTCTGTTGATCTCAACAGAGCAGTTAAGTGTGCACCTAAGACTCTTACATTGGCCAGAATTCATGCAGAATTCATTCATCTTTTATTAAGAGGTTCTTATCCTGGCTCAGTTTTCTTATGGATCCCTTTTGACTTGGGGAAGCCTTTGGGAGCCTGTTGGTGGATGGTGGTGGAAGCTTTAATGTTTAAAAATTGCCAGTTCCAGAGATGGTGATTGAAAACTATCCCGAAGCCCCACAAAGACTTTCCCATGTTGAAAGGCATGAGAGCCTTGGAACCTCAGGGGAGTGGGATTCAGAAACTTTAAATAAAGGATAAAATGCCATGGCTGATGAAACCATCAGCCTTAACACATGCATACCTGTGTCAACAGGATTCCAGCTATTAAGTTGTTAGTGCATGCAGTTTTTCCAGTGACAGTCTAGTTTTGGCTGGATTGTACCCTTCAGATCAAAAGTCTTTATGTAGTATATCTGGCCAAAGATCCTGAAATCTATTATGTTATGCAAAGCTTTAATCACAGTATTTACACTTAGTGAATGAACATCCACCTTGACTTCTACCTGCTACTGTTTGGTGGACTGTATTATATTTTTCTGGTAGTTTGGGTCTGGATAGTAGCTTTTTAGATATTGGCAAACAGTGTGACACATCCATTGTTACATCTTCTTCACAGTGGTCTTTTTTTCTTCAAACAATAAAGTCAGTGTCAAGTTCCTCAGCATTTTAAAGAAAGATGGGGGATTTCCCTGCTTCCCCACATAAATGCATGAGAGGTTGATTCAACAAATAAGCCAAGCTATTTCCCCAAAAATTAATTAGTGTACATCCAAAATATTCCCAAATAACTTGAACAATTATTCCTCCATCCAGTTTATAAATTCTCAGAATTGTTGTAAACTTAAAGATTTTACACTGTGTGGAAACAACTGGTTTGAGAAAGGCTGCACTTGCATATATGGTTTTAAACTATTGGCATGATAAACTGTGACCAGTTTTGTATGCATTATAATTCCTGTATGCATTACTTGAAAATAAGGGGAAAGTGTAATGGATGGGAAGAGGAATGTGGTGATCCCTATTGTGGAGTCATTCTGATGTGTGAATTATGATGTATTTTGCAAAACTACTGTTCAGACCTTTGGGGTTCTGTACTCTCAGACTGTGAAGTACCTTTCCCTGTTATTTTTCTATAGAAAAGGTTTTGAGAAATGTAGTAGTCTGAAGTTTTAAATGAGAAAGTGGCTTTACAGAAAACCATAAAAGGATCAGCAGAGGTGGGACCAGAGGAAAGAAGGAAAGGGAGAGGGGTCTGTGGGCTGGAATGCATCTCATCTCATATCCAGGATGAATTGTGAACTCCCCAATCAATCTGCAGCCCCGTATGAATGTTGATTGCTATTTCAAATGTAATACAGGTCGCGAATCAAATCACAGCAAAGCCAAATAATTCTGTAGGCTGTATTACATTCTGATTCAGCTTTCCAGTATAATTGCATCCTAAGCTCTGTGTGTCTGCCAGCTTTGGTACACTTTGTATCTGGAGCCATTTTTACAAATACAGAAAACTCTGTGTATAATTATAAATCTATTTGCTTTTTAAGTTCACTCTCATGTTTTCTTAATATTCATTCTCCCACTACTAGTGCTGCAAACAGATATGCAGTATATTAATATCTGATTTTACTTAGCAAAACATGTATTCTATGTCAAAGGCTCTTACAACTCAACTTCTTTACAGTAATTAACACTCCTTATTCTAGCATAATCATAAAGGGTTGTAATCAACCGCAATACAATTTTTTACAGTTTATATGATTGCTACATACATTGTTTACAAAAAGTTTTTCCAAATATTTCAACAGGCACTGATAGTTATGTTTCACTTTTCCACAGTTCATATAATTCATAAATCCCTTGTTTAGACAATTGTTTTCCAAATTTTTCCAAAGACACTGATAGTTTGTGTGATGAATCTTCAGCTTCTGGTACGCGTTATAGCTATCCTGCTCATTTCATGTCCTTTCTTTAGAAACAAATTTTCAGTGCTTAAACTGGAAACCATTATCTTCTCTTAAATGCAGTCCATTCCTTTACAACATGGCAAAGCCTTCCAAAATTCTCTTGGTTGGAAAAAGGTTCTTGGTTGGAAAAGGGTTCTTCAGAACCATAGCACTAGCTGAAATCTTGTTGCTTTGTGTAGTAAGTTGCAACTAGAACAGACCCATTTGAATCAATGGAACTTATGGAGGAATTGACCCTCACTGATTCAACAGGCCTGCTCTTTGCAGCTTACTGCAGTAAGTGGGATTTCAGTCATTATCTTAAGAGGATAACTAAAAACATAAAAGCAGATAACCAAAAACTTGCTGTTTTTAAAAAGAAGCAACTTTTCTGTCTTTTTGCCTTTTTAGACAATCAAATGAGCAAATGGCCAAAACCTCAAGCTCTTCCCCAACAGCAACCAACAATCCTCTTTCTCCTGTGAAGGGAACCTTTTCAGGACAATCCTGCATTTCTTCTCTTAAACCAGCACCTCTGCCCTCCAATCTGGATGATTTAAAAGTGAGTGTTTTCTCTAACGATGCAATGAGTAAAACTCTCTGTGTGGTACCTGCAGCTGTGTGAGAGGGCAAAGTTTGTACGCTGCTGGCACATGGTTAAAAATCTTTCACTTTTTAATCATTACTCAAAGTTCAAACATAATAATGAAAATGTAATTTTGATTCTGAAATACAGAATTTTCGTCGTTAAGCGCAGTTTTGTAACATTCTACATTTGAAGATGAATTGATTTTACATCTCATCTCAAATGTGGGCCTAGTGACCATAAACCTATTGGAACAGATTCTGGTGTGTGGGAATTATGCCACCTTTCACAGATTTGCTGTTAGGTATACACACAGATCAATTTTGCTATCTCATCATGAGCCAGACTAGAGATGAGGACAAACTGCCAAAATGACGGTTCATCTTGGTTCATGGTTCATCAAGGTTGATGAACCACAAATTTCCCCATGTTTGACTGACAAACCATGAATTGGTTTGTCTGTTCATTTTAAGATAGCCTATGGCTGTCTAAAAAGAAAAGCAGTTCTCCCCCCCCCGCCACAGCCCTCCCCCACACCCCTTCCCCCTGCCCGGTCCCTTCCTTACCTTCTCCACCTCTGTCACCCATGCTGCCACCATTCCCATCTTTGCAAAGATGGCAGCTGCAGCTTCCCTTAGGGCAACAGAGTCCTCCCTCTCTGCCAATCAGCTGTTTGGTGGGCCCTCTGTCAAACAAGGCATGCTCCGCTGCCCAAAGGGAAACTGGGCTGTCCTTTGCAAAGATGGTGACAGTGGCTTCCCTTAGGGCAGTGGAGCCTTCCCTGTTCACCTATGGGCCCACTGATCATCTCTTTGTAGGCAGAAAAGGAAGGCTAGGTTGCCCAAATGGAAGCCACTGTTCCAGCAGCCTAGTCTTCCCTCTCTGGGGGTGAATAAAAACTATAAATATTCATCCCTTCATATTTATCAGGGTGTCTGGAACTGACAAATATGAAGGGCCCAATATTAGATGAATCAGCAATTTCTTAAGAATATTGCAGTTAATTTTTTTATTTCTCCCCTTGTCTAGTCAGGATTGCTAAAGTACTGTAGTACTATTGTATCTAAATTATCATATTTGTCGAGGCCTGATTTGGCCACATCCCCAAATCAACCCAAGATGATCGAAGCATAACATTAGGTATAATTGTGTACAAAAGCAGCACAGATTAGAAGTGACAGACATCCAAAGCCATGTAAAGAGGCACTGAAGGGGCTAAACCTTACTAAGCTTCAAAGGTACCACTCAAAGCTAGCCATGAATAATTCTAGGTTTAGTTTTGTATGACAAGAGTTTGTTCCAGATAAGTGGCTACTTTGCCACAAAACTGCACAGGAGAGCAATGTTGACACCAACTGAATGGTTTTCATTCCAGGTCTCAGAACTCAGACAGCAGCTCCGAATAAGGGGCCTTCCTGTGTCAGGTACAAAAACAGCCTTGATGGAGCGCCTGCGGCCCTTCCAGGAGTGCAGTGGGGGCTCAGTGCCTAATTTCAGTGAAATAACTACAGTCACCTTCCCAGTGACTCCCACAAGCTCTCTCTCCAGCTATCAGTCCCAGTCCTCAGCCAGTCTGTTATCGAATGGCTTTTACCACTTTGGGAGCACCAGTTCTACTCCACCCATCTCCCCAGCTTCCTCTGACCTGTCAGTGAATGGGTCCTTGCCAGACAGTTTCAATGAAGGACCAATGGCTTCCCCCCCATTTGTCTTGCACCCTTCTCCTGTGCAAGGTGGGTGTGAGGAGAGCCTTATGGGAAGCACTAACGGACCTGGCATCCAGTTGGATGTGGAAAGGGTTGATACGGAGAAAGACAAGATGCTTGTGGAGAAACAGAAGGTCATCAATGAGCTAACCTGGAAGTTGCAGCAAGAGCAGAGGCAAGTGGAAGAATTGAGAATGCAGCTGCAGAAGCGTAAAAGAAGCCATGGATTGGAGGAGAAGCAGAACTCATCACATTTCTTTGCCTTCCCAATAAAGCAAGAAAACGCAGCGTCCAGCTGTCCATTTGCCACCAAGCAAGCTGCTTTGAAAGGCCAGGTCAGCAACTCAAACCTCCTGAGCAACTGTGGGACCCCTCAGCTGCCCTGCCGTGTAAATAGCCACTGCATGGAATCTTCAGGACCGAATGGAATCCTGTCCTCCACATTCCTGAGCCCCCAGTGCTCTCCCCAGCATTCTCCCTTGGAGCCAGCCAAGAGTCCGCAACACATCAGCCTGCCACCCTCCCCAAACAGCCACTATCTCCTCTCAGTCTCTCCTGGCACTCAGGGAGAAGGGCGTGGCTCTCCACAGCCCAGCAGCCATCTGTGCACAGCTCCGGTAAGGAAACATCTTTATGGTAATAGATATACATTATATACATAAGCCCGAAAGGCCCCAAGAGAGGTATACAATAAGAACACTGAAAATAATCTAGAGGGTAAATAGCAAATCTAGTCATAGAGACAGGGCAAATGAAAAATTTTAAATGTGGTAGCAAATATTCCAATGGGAAGCATTCCAAAGTTGGCCTTATTTCACTCTATCTACCTCGCTGCTGCTGGGGTTGGGGGGAGATATTTATTTTTTTACTATTTATTTATTAATTAGATTTATATCCTGCCAGTCTAGAACGTGTGTACTCTGGGCAGTTTACATATAATATAAAAATAAACTAAGATAAAATCCAGATTCGTCCAAGATGGAAAAGGAAAAAAAAAGAAAAAAGAAGAAGAAGGAGGAGAGAAAAAGGAAAAGAAAGGGGGAGATAGGCTAGGTAATGGCTGTAGGGAAGGCTTGCCTGTATAACCATGTCTTCAGGTTAGTCTTGAAGGCCCTCAGCAAGGGAGCCAGGCAGATCTCTACAGTTAGCAGTAGGTTGTTCCACAGGCGAAGGGCCACTGCCGAAAAGGCCCAATTTCTAATTTTTTTCCCACCAGGCCTCTCTTGGCGTTAGACCCCTCAGCCGCCCAGCCTGACTTGAGTGGGTGATACAGGTAGAACTGGGAGGAAGAAGGTGCTCTGCCAGATATCAAGGCCCTAAACCATTAAGGGCTTTATATGTAATGGTTAGCACCTTGAAATCAATGCAGAAGCAGATAGGTGGCCAGTGTAAGGTGGCTAAGGTGGGGGAAATATGGTGAAATCTTTTCACCCCTGTTAATAGCCTGGCTGCCGTGTTCTGGACCATCTGAAGCTTCCACATCAGTCCGAAAGGAAGCCCCACATAGAGAGTGTTACAGTAGTCTATTCTTGAGACTATGAGTGCATGGACCAGCATGGTGAGCGCACCTGTGTCTAGATAGGGACACAACTGGGTGATCTGCCAGAGATCTAAATGGGCAAACCGAACCACGGATGCTACCTGGGTCTCCATGGTAAGCACCAGGTCAAGACGGACCCCCAGACTGCAAACTGAATTGTTTATGGTGAGAGTCACCCCCCATAAGAAAAGGAGTTCCCCATACCACTGACATTGGGGCCACCCACCCTCAGGACCTCCGTCTTGTCCAGGTTCAACCTTAGTCCATTCGGCTGCATCCATTGCAGACAGGAGGTCAGCACCTGCAGTTGGTACAAAGGAGATGTAGAGCTGAGTGTCATCAGCGTACTGATGACACGATGCTCCACACCCCCTGATGACCCCCCCCAACAGCCTCATATAGATGTTAAACAGCATTGAGGAGATGATCGAACCCTGCAGGACCCCAGAACTGAGGGGCCATGGGCCGATACATTCTCCCCAAGCTGCACTCTGTGGGGAAGGCCCTCCAAGAAGGACCAGAGCCAAGGGAGAGCAAGGCACCCAATCCCCAACTCAGACAGCCTCACCATGAGCATACCATGGTCGGTGGTATCAAAAAGTGGCTGAGATATCAAGGAGGGCGAGCAAGGACATTTTGCCCCTGTTGGCCTCCCTAAGTAGGTCATCCAGCAGGGCGACCAATGCTGTTTCCATGCCATGGCGTGGCCTGAAGCCTGACCGAAATGGATCCAGGGCATCGGTTTCATCTAAGAGAGCCTGAAGCTGGTCGGCCACCACCCTCTCTACATCCTTGCTGAGGAAAGAAATATTGGCAACAGTCCTATAACTGCCAATGTTGTCAATGTTGCTGGCCCCAATAGACATGTGGAGGGCCTCTAGGCCTGGCATCATCATAACAGAGACCCTGTCAACCTCAAGGGTGTCCTTATAAACAATGGCAACTCCCCCCCAATCCTCTGGTTTACCCTGGTTCTGAATAGTATAACTGGGGGGACAGGCTAGAGTCAGGGGTACACTCCTTCACTACCCATCCACGTCTCGGTTATGCAAGCCAGATCTGCATCCTTTTCCAGAATAAGATCTTGTGTTAGCTAGGCTTTATTGGATACAGACCTGGCATTCAATAGGCACCAAAGTTAGATTGGAGGGAGGACTGAGCTGACCACCTGGAGCCTGGCAAGTGGTAACATCACCAAAACAATGGACAGCTTTCAGGCATCTGTTCACCCTTCTTCTGGAACGACTAGCAGCTGTACCAGCGCCATATCTTCCCCTACCCGTAATCACCCGTATGTTCTTGAAGCCCCCGCTGTAGGCAGGCCTTCCTCTCCATTCCTAGCACAAAACATTGTAACATTAGCAGAAAACTCAATTAAGGTAAGAGTAAGTACACAATAATTAACAGTAACAAATTAACATAAACAATAAATTACACACTATTAATTACATTAAATTAAAATTAATAAAATTGAGCAAAACAATACCACTTAAATAAGTATTGCAACTTAGGGTAGGGTAAGATAGTTCATATATGTAAAGAAAAGCCCATCTGCCCACCCCACCTCTAAGTGTAAGAGTGTAAGTTTGTTTCATAAATATGAGTAAGGACAAAAGAACGAGAGTAAAGTGAAATAGAATTAAATAAAATAGCGTACAAAAAAAATAAAAATAAAGAATATAAGACCAAGATGTCCCCCCACACCCAGGTCCTGTCCCATTGCAATTTTGCTGTAGATCTTGTCTTTTCCAAGGAGGCTGTTAGAATTACATTAATGGGGGCAGTGATTGCAAGCGAAGCTTGGTCCAATTATAAAAAGGTGGAATAAAGGTAGCAGGAGAGGATAAGTTATAGAGGATAAGATATAGAGGACAAGTTTCTAATACCTGGACAGCATAATGCATAAGGAGGTAACCAAGCTCCCAAGATACTCAGGTTCCAACCTGTTTAGGACTTTTTAAGTTAAAAGTAGCTAGTGTGGGTGTTTCATAGCCAGCGAGATTCCATTCACTTTCCCACTGTAAGCAGTCTAGCTGCTGCATTTTAAATCAGCTGCAGTTTCTGAACAAGTCTTCAAAGGCAGCGCCACATACAGTACTGTATATTGCAGTAATACAAACCGAGTAACACCAGTGCATGGATTAGCATAGCCAAGCTATCTCTGACCAGAAGGGGGCATCATTGGCACATCGGCCTAAGCTGCAAGGAACTGCATGCCAATAAAGTGACTTGGGCCGCTAAGAGCAATACTGTGTCTAATTCTAGTTCCCACCCCCTTTAGAATGAGTACAGCCCTGTATGGCACAGTGGAAGACATTTCCTGTTTGATGCTGAGATTTTCCAATGAAAATTGGAATGTCATTATGGATTATGTGAAGGTGAAAATTCATATTAAAATTTCCATGTGACCATAGAACTGGGAAGAGTAGTGAGTAAGAAAAGGAAGATCCTGCACTTTCCTGTCTTCTAACAGTTCTGATGGAAGTTCTCAAGAAAATAACGAAGCTATATTTACCCAGGCTCCTGTTCTTCTTGGGAGTTTGCAATGTAGCTAAAGTATTGGTACTAGCGATCTTCACAGCTTTTTAGGTGATTAAAACCATTGTACAAGCATAGGTGGCTTCATGGATGTTTGCAGCACCAAGGTGCCAATTCTGATCCTGTGCTGTAAAGGTCATCTCATGGGATCTGTGGTGTGCCAGCAGAACACAGTACCTAGAGCAGAATGAGGCAGTTTTCTCAAAATATAGAACTATCTTGGCTTTTTGCCATTGTGCCTCAAGGCAGCAAACATCTTAAAGCCTCTGGGAATGAGAAGAAGGGAAAGTAGCAGGGACTTGTAAGAAGTCAGGAAGCAGGGCCTACCTTGAAGCACAACAACCCCCAGCCCTTTGCAAATTATCCAGCTGTGGTTCTCCCTCCTTCCCTTCATCCTCTTTTGGGGGAAAGCATCTGTAAAATTCTGAAGAAGGGTATGGAAAAGTGCTGTTGTCGAAAGAAAACATGTAAATCTGGAGGTATGAGGTACTGTATAATTTTGTCAAATTGCAGTCTTAATTTTCTCATCGAATAACTCTGCCATTCTAGGAGTGTACTTTTAGAGTCATCACCACGGGAAGATCACTCTTCCAGTCTGGTTTTAAGAGCATTATCTCTGCCACCTACTCAGAAGGCTCCCAAGCCCTTTCAGGAGGAGTATGTGCTGTGCAGTGTATGTGGAACATTCCGTCACATATTCTCTCAGGGGAAAGCGTTCAACATCACCGTGATCAGAAGGGACCCTGTAACATGTTAAGGAGCTATCTTGATACAGACATTGTTGTTTTCCAGTCACTGAGCTGAAAAGCAGGGAAGGAGGGCTCTCTTTTAAATGCTCGATCGTCATTCATAAATGCATAAGGCCTTGATCTATATTCAAGTTATGTAACTGATATTCAAAAATGGTGATAGGTGAATGCAGGTGAATATTAACAAAATTAACACTTCTGGCATTTGTCACCAACATTTGCTCCTGCATAGGTTGGTAAGTCGCTCTTAAGAAGTCTCTCCTAGCCCTGCAAAAGAAAAAATCCCCACGTTAAGGCAGCCTTTAATATCAGAAGCCTTTCACATGTTGGTTGCACCTTTTTGGCATAGGGTGTACGCTTTATAGAGTCAGGGCTATCTGACTCTATAGACTGTTCCCACAGTACAATGGTGCCCCGCTAGATGCTTACCCCGCTAAACGATGAAAGTGCTTGACGATGTTTCCTATGGGGGATTTTTGCTTTACGTTGATTAGGTCCTTGCTTCACGAACCATTTGTTCACAAAACAATAATTTTTCCGGCTCCGCAAAATGGCTTCCCTTTGCAAAATGGCTGGTTTCCCTTTGCAAAATGGTTGTTTTCTGTACAGAAGCTTCGCAAAACAGCGATTTTAAACAGCTGATCAGCGGTTCTCTATGGACGATCTTCACTGGACGATGAGGTATTTCCCCATTGGAGCACATTAACCGGTTTTCAATGCATTCCAATGGGGTTTTTGGGGTTTTTTTTGCATGATGATGATTTTGCTATACAGCAATTTTAATGGAATGGATTATCGTTGTCATGCAGGGCACCACTGTATGTAGAATTGGCTCTCGGCTCCCATTGCCTTCATTTTAACTCCCCAATGTATATTGTATTTACTTAGAGGTTGCCTCCTAGAATGCTGATTGGGCCCTTTATGCTGGTTGTAGGTCGAATGGCTTTGGACACCAAGGATCACTTACTACAGCATTCTCTGAATAGATTTATTTGGTTTTGCTCCCGTACAGGTGCCGCCACAAGGAGGCCAGAAGTATTCCGTTCTGTCCTCTAGCTTTTGCAAGTCGAATACTGCCCTCCCAGAGGGAAAGCAGCCACCGCCCTATGCTGATGCTGTGAAACAGGTAACTGTCCAGTGGATGTTGAGAAATGCCTGCCAGAGTTTGCTTTGGTGAAGTATTATGGAGCAGTCCCCTGGAGATTTCAGCACATTGTATATATTTGTGAGTTAAACCAGAAGGCTTCCAACCGGTGTGAAAAGTGGACTCACCCTTGTTCACATACTGAGTTGCAAAAGTGAATTAAAGAAATACCAGAGCAGATTCATTCAACCTCAGATTTGTTAAGAGGATGTATAAGAAATTGAATGGGCAGGAGGTTGAACTGGCAGAGATTCTTGACTCATTTCATTTCTGGGTTAAGATACCATATAAGTTGCAAGTGGACGACTGTGGAGTCCACGCTGCATTCACCCTTTCTTCAAAATGGAAGGAAAGAGACAGTTATGTAGGTTTTGTAGGGAAAGCATTATTTTTGGCCATAGGAAATTGACAGGGGGAGGATTCCCTTAAAATGCAACCCCCCCCCGAGGGAGTGATTGTTCCTTTGGGGTTGGTTGTCTGTGACGGAGGGTGTGGGGGACTGCACAGAACCCTCTGGCAGGTGACATACGGGCTGCACTTTGCCCACTTGTGAAGTAGCTGAAAGCAGGGCTGTTCCTTATTTTGAGTGGAATTTTAGAATAAACACAATATTTGGAAATATTTTGAATAAAAAAATTAATTAACAAACACACTGATTTGTAAATAACACTATAAACTGTGGATGTGCTTGGCAGAACCGAGAATACATTGTTCAAGTAACTAAATTTGATTTTTTTGGGGTTTTTTTAAAGATATTGAAAGAACATGTAAAAACAACACCACAATAATAGTACAGGTATTTCACCAGAAATGCAAAATCTGATAAAGTAGCTTCACATCATTGCAATCTGTATCAGATAAGTAACTAGCATTTGTAATCATATTTGAGAGCATTGCAATGTATCTCTTAGGGAGGTAATTGCCTTAGAAGGTACAATGTAGGTACAATTAGGGAGTTTGCTGTCTGTCTGATTCTCTCTCACACACTTTCTCCCTCTCCCCACCTCTCTCTCCTACCCCCCAACCACCTCTGTTGTTTCTTTTTCATTTTTTACAGAAACCGGTAGAGAGATAGCAATCAAAACAAAATACCATTCAAAATGGTGCAGTTTCATTCTGTGTAAAAATTATTTGGAGCAGTGAAACCAACTGGTGAAAGGTTTTTCTTTCTAGCTTGACAGGAACATTGATTGATTTTTTGGGGCTAGGGCATCTCTGGATCAATTGTATTTAAAACTGTGCTGCTTGCAATGTATAATGCTCCTCTGAAATGCACACAGTCACTATACTAGGGAATTGTTGTTTACCTAAATATCTATGAGAGGAAGTTATTCAATGTTCTTTCAGTGCTCCGCCTGCTCTGTGGATCTGAGTTTTCAGTTTTCTCCTTAAAAAGTAAGATCTCAATCAGTCCAAGGTTATTTTTATAGGCGAGTTGCAGGTGTCTCCAATCCCCACTTCTTAAATCCTCCTTTCTCTTCTTGCTGCAGCAGATGACCCGTAGCCAGCAGATGGATGAGCTCTTGGACGTGCTTATTGAAACTGGAGGTAAGTAATGCTGTGGAGGAGGTTCTTGACAGTGCCTCCCAGAGTTAGGGATCTCTGTAGTTCTAAGGTTGTGGTTGATGATGATGATTCTTGTTTCAGGAAACTATGAGCCAAATCTCTGTCTGCCCAAAGAGGGGAACATTGTTACCCACCGCAGGCCACTGCCATTCACTCTCTCAATAGGAGTGCCTGAACCTGTTGTGGCAGATGATTTGCCTTACAGGCATTGGTCACCCTATACAGTAAGGAAAAGGTTCCCCTTGACATTTAGTCCAGTTGTGTCTGACTCTAGGGTGCGGTGCTCATCACCGTCTCCAAGCCATAGAGCCAGCGCAAATCTCTGTCTGCCCAAAGAGGGGAACAATGTGGCTGCTATGTACACACATTGTTACCCACCACAGGCCACTACCATTCACTCTCTCAATAGGAGTGCCTGAACCTGTTGTGGCAGATGATTTGCCTTACAGGCATTGGTCACCCTATACAGTAAGGAAAAGGTTCCCCTTGACATTTAGTCCAGTTGTGTCTGACTCTAGGGTGCGGTGCTCATCACCGTCTCCAAGCCATACAGCCAGGCTTTTGTGGTTTAACCCACAGCACCACCACGTCCCACTCACCCTATGCAGTATGGGTGACAAAGATACCCTGTTGCTGCCTTCTAGTTATCAGTTTTAGCTGTACTTATTGTCTCCTAATGGAACGTGAAGCTTGTGACCATTCACCCAAAGAACATGAACTACATGTTGAGGGGGTTGGATGCTGTCAGTCACTGACTACTGTCAATGGCAGAAATTATTTTTATTTGCATGTAATGAATAGATATCTCACAATGTCTCAGAGACTGCTTGAGAGGAATTTAAAATTAATAATATCATACAGACTAGTAGATAACAAGATAAAAACATCAACTTAAATTGAAAAAACAAAAGACCAGCAGCAAATGAAATTGAAGTTTTTCCTAAAAGGAGCACTAACATCAACAACACTGTATTGAGTCTTGTGCAAATGAAACATATACATTTGTGTTCACTAACTTCCAAGAATATGCTCAATAGTCTACAACCTGCCCAAATCTCCACACTGCTTAACTTGACAATCATTTAACTAATCCTTGCTTTAACCTTTGTTCACTCACTCTTTCCCATTTAGTTTGTGAAAGTTTCACCAATATTACCTGCAGATTTTTCATTGATGCCAAAGCACATACTCTGTGCCCTGAACAATACCTGTAACAGCTCTTCTCATGTGTTAAGTTTTTTTCCCCATCATCAGTGTTTCATCTGTTCTCCTATGACTTTTAGAAGGCTCTTTTATGATCCCTTTTCAGCATTCCCATACTTCTGAACAGGAATGGGGAAATTTTGGCTCTCCTGGTGGTTTGGCCTACAGCTGCCATTGTTCCCAGCCCGCAAGACCAGTGTGAAGAGACTGTGAGAGCCGTAGTCCAAAACATCAGGAGCTCAAAAAAGATGCCCTTTATCTGTGACAGGCAACAGAATTAAAGCAATCTGCTTTCCCAAAAATATTTAAGAAGCAGTGACAAACTGGAGTGGTCTGTGTCTTGTAACATTTGAAGTTAGGGTGAGGTAGTCTTGTGCTCAACAGCATGGAAATGTAAGTTGCTGATCTGCTTTTGGGTTTGACGTTTTTGGTTTGCACACAGAAATGCCTGCAAATGCCAAAGAGGAGCGTGCTTGTCTTCCAAAAGTGCCTCAGATCACAGTGTCTTCGGGGACATCTGGAACATCTTCACTCCTAAAGGCATCGACTTCCTTTGAGCAAGGCCCCTCAAGCCAGCTCTCCTTCGAACATTGCCCTAGCAGCAATGATAGTCATCTGGAAGTCTTGTTGAATTCACACAGCTCCATGGGGCGATCAAATGATATCACCCTCCTGAAGGTGGGTGGTGAGGAGCCTCACTTCGAAGGGGTGATGGAAGGGTTTTCTAGCAAAGCTGCAGATGAACTTCTGGCACCTCATGAAATCCTTCCAAACCCTCTCTCCCCCATGGAAGCCCAGCTGTCTCCCTCGTCTGGTGAAGGATCTGGTTTGCACATGAGTTTCACAGAGTCTCCGTGGGAAACAATGGAATGGCTGGACCTCACTCCACCCAGCTCAGCCAATGGTTTTGGGTCCCTCACCACCACAGGGCCCAGCCTCTTCAACATTGATTTCTTAGATGTTACTGATCTCAACTTGAACAGCACCATGGATCTGCACTTACAACAGTGGTGAATACAGTCAGCTATGATCGGGAAGGCAATCAACTACAAACAGTATTCATGTAAGGGTTGAATTACTATGTTAGATAGTACTGATGTCGTCCAAGGAGATGGAACTGGAGACGCCTCTCCTAGACCTGTATCTTTCTGTTACCAGTGGAAACACCAAAGAATTACTGCTTACCCAACTAATCCTCCACCCTCGTGTGAAACCTTTCTTCAACACTTCCTCTTCAGTAGAATTAAATCCTCAGGAAGCTTAGCTTTGTAGTTCCTAAACATTTTCCAAGAAAGACTCCCTTTGCAGTGGAACTGCATTTGGTACATGCCTATCAGTACTATCCCTAGCATATCATAGTCTTACCAGGTTGTTGTGCTAAAACATACCTGCTACCTGCTATGGGCAAACATTTCATTTACGTGGTATTCACAATACAGTACATTGACTGGTTGATGCTGCCCTCCGTAATCAACAGATACACACAATCCGTTTATTGTTTTAAGAAGGTAAGCTTGCCAGGAAGTGTCATCAGGTCAGTAACTTGCAAGCTACTTCTAGTTGTTGACAGTTCAAATAAGCTTCAAGGGTAAGCAACATGTGGCGCACAGGCCATATGGTGCAGCCCATAGCACTGCCATAGAAATACTATGGGCTGCATCAGCCCCTGCCATCAGCGTACAAACTGTTGAAAATGCAGCAGCCTCCTGTTTCCTTCCCTTCCGGTTGCCTCTGGAAGGAAAGTGAATATGTGTGCCATGTGCCTTGCGGTGCAGGATATTCTGGCAGTCTCCTGCGCTACAGAGGGCTGCTACCATTGCCATCCAATTTCTATGGCAGCTTCAGGAGTGGCAGTAAATCTCGCAGCAGTGCAGCCCCACCTTCATTCTGACGAGTTTGAATGTGGCTCTCTGAGCACAGACGGTTGTGGTGCCTGTCCTGGGATTTCAACAAACAACACTTCCTGACCCTTCTCTTGTCTCATCAGTTTTAAAAGCATCTCCAACAGAATTGAAACAAAGTGCCTTCCCCCTCCCCCCCCCAATGGATACTCAGCTTGGAAAGAAATCTGTCATACAAATGAAGCAAGTATTGAAATAAGTAGGTTGAGAGCAGGGTTCCTGTGGCCCTCATCAATTTTCTTTTTTACAGGTACATTCCTCCTTTATTTATTTATTTTATTAAATTAAAAGGTCTATAAACATATAATGATATACATGTAAATCTAGAGCATTTTAACACAATTGAATAATTCATCTTTCGTTTAATTCAATCACTTTGTTAATTTTTTTTTCATATTTGAAATATTAATATTGTCCATGAATGTGTGTATACAAAATTTTAAAATTCAAGTCAGGTCACCAATAACAAATTTATAACAGCCATTGTAAATATAAAGATGCCACCTCATGTAAAAGTTTAATACAGAGCTTGGAAACCTAGTGAAAGATTGATATTTGAAATGCTTTTAATTGAGATCCAGAAATTCCTCAAAGAAATTCCACAGGTGTAAAATATAGCTACATTTTTCAATCATACTGCCAACGACAGTATGAGGGGTTACATTTTTGCCAGCTTACAAGATCTTTAATACAATTTCCTCCCTGGTTTAAATAAATAAAACTTGTGGGAGCAGAAAAGCATTTCCACTTGAATAAGGCAGCCCTGTTCCCCTGATTTCTGCATCTCCTGCAGGCCGCCCTACCTTATCCATCCTCATTCCAGAGTCTGTCCCTGAATTTGAGCAGGAGCATCTCTGGATGCACCAAAGTAGTGTACTCATTGTCGATTATGTGCCAGTGGAATCCAACCCTTTTCCTTCTTGTGCAACATTAAGCCACTGTTTAAGAAATTGATATACTCATATATGAACATGTGCTGAAATTTTCTTACAGGTAGAGACAGTGGGAGTTATGCAGACAGCTGAGGTGGACTATCTTGTCCCTGACCACATACATGTGCTGCTGTTGAACAACTGGAAAATCTAATAGACCTTCATAGTGCACTGTTTTCCTTCATTAACGGCACACTGGATTTAGACTTAAGTCGAAATTGTATTTTGTTGAGAGCTATATCCAGCTTTTCAGATCATTTATTTGCTTAGCTAGTCCATAAACTCAGTTGTAGCTATATAAATCTCTACTTCAGTTTCCAACTCTTATTCTTTCCATGTTCTCCTCCCCTCATGGAGAATCTTATATGAAATCTCCTCTCTATTTCCAAGTCTGCCTGTAACATTACAGATGTAGTATTTTGAAAAGATCTGAATTCATCTGTAAATCTTTTCTTTTGTATCTTTCCCTTGTCTTTTCAATTTGTCTCCTAATTCATGACCTACAGTTCTATAAAAGAAAAAAATTAGATTTTTGTCTGGGTTTTATCCATTAGAAAAGGGAAATAATTTCCTTTTATTTTAATTCCTTTCCAGAATGCTACTTAAATATCTACCAATAGATATAATAATTTATTTTAACCATTTGGTGTCTTAGTAACCTAGCATACTGCTTTAAATATTAGTAAATTCATACGTTTAAAAAAAAAACCTAGAAAGCATGCATTTAAAAATATGCATATAAAAAGCAATCATGGGTAATACAAGAAATTATGATTTTATGAAATTCCTATTAAAGAGGATCAGTTGATTAAGAAACAGCTAAAGTCTGATGTGCTGTTGGTTGGTGTCCACCTGCACAACAGGAATGATGTCATTTGCAACAGTAAAGTTGCCACTGATTAAAGAATTCCTGTTGTGATTTTGTCACATTACTTACAGGCCATACATAGCCTCAAATTGCAAAACTCCTTTAATCAATAGCCCTCTGTTGCTGCTGAAGGTATCATTCCCATTGTGCAGATGGAACTGCACAGTAGAATTTAGCCACTGAACAGTGTGTGACAGATAAGTGGGTAACTTATTGAACAAATACTGAAAGGGGGGGAGAGAGAGAGACCAAAAATATATGACAGTGATTTCCAGGTACTTTAACTGAATCCTTCTCTTGGCTTATCTTCCTGGGTAACTCTTAACGTTTTCTTCTCTACATGAAATCCATTCAGCCAAGAAGTGTGCCACCTCAAGTAGCCAGTGGAGAATAATAATTCATTATCTTGCACCTCTTTTTTAAAGTCTGTAATTCAGTGCAGGTATGGTAATTAACTCCCAAGGCTCCTCCAGGGTTCATCAAGTGCCTTAATGTGTTGCCTGAAACTAAATGATGGTTTAAATACAGCTGGTTTGTCTCTAACCCCCAACCCCAAAATACATAGTAACGTAAAACTCAGGATAACATGTTTATTTTAAAATAATCCCCAATTGTTTGAAAACTAAACCATCTACTGACACTCCTTCCTGCCAAAAATGCCATGAGTCAGACTGAAAACATCTCAAGAATAACTCACATATTATGACTGTCTCTCACAATTTTTAAAGTAAATATAACCATTTGAAACTGCCATTCATGCACTCTGTTCCTGTGAATTTCTGTACATAAGCAAGGCTGTGGCCCAAGCGATACTTCTGCGATTCGTTTTGCAGGAGCAGGGGAATGTGGACCAAGTGAACTAACAGAAAAAGAAAGCACTTCATTGCTGGAGCTTTGGAATCAAAAGACTTACTGAGCAGCTGCCACAGATGAGGTATCCATGTAAAGGTTTAGTTCTTACTCTGAGTAAAAGTATTTATTATAAAAAACAACTGTAGGCTTATTTATTGCAATCTGAACAGCCTCATAGGACAATGTAACCAAGCCCATACTATGCACTTCTTTCTCAGAATGGTCCACACTGAGTGCCTCTCCCAACCATGCTAACTACCTCTACTGCTGTCTTTGCAGCCTGAAAGCTACTGCAAGGCAGCTGTGGTCAATCTAATAAGAAACAGACAGCTACTTGTGCACCATCAGGCCAAAGAGGAAGCCTTTATAACATCATACTCTGATGTTTGCAGCCCTCCAGCTGCAATTGGCTTCATCTGTTTCTGTGCTATATGATGCAATACCTTAATAATGAACACTTGTTCTGCTGACACTAGCGGGCATTCCTAAGCCACCTAGAGATTAGGCAATTTTGAGTATATCTTTTAAAATATATTTTACAACCATCTTTTAAAATTGTACAAAGACACTTTTTCATTTAGGCCCTATTGCAATTACTTCTACAGCTTTTTGTTTTAAAAAAAAGATATTAGTGCCAATTTATGAACAAATCAAAATAAAACCAGCCAACCAACCAACCCTATGGTGCTTATTGGGTGGTAACTATAAAGGCAGGATGTGGTTGGTTTTTTAAAAGCAACTTAAAATGTGGGCTAGATTAACACACGTTTACATAAATATTTCAGTCTTCAAAAATAAGCAACAAGTGTTTTTGTACAAATTAAAAGATAATGGCATGTGTGTAAGATAATACACCAAAGTAGGTATATGGCAGTAGGTTCACCTGTCGAATACATTACTGCACATATCAAAACTATAGGACTTAAAAAGGAGAGAAGAACAGCACGAACACAATGTAGACTTATGAATACACTCTCCTTCTGTTCAATTCATAAAGTGTAGAAGTATAATAAGGTATAAAGAGATGACAGAATACGTGTAGTAAACCCTAGAAAATGCATGAATGAAATACAGTATGTCTATTCCATAGCACGCTATAATTCAGAGTCACTACACACATTCTGCTACAGCTTGATAAGGCAAATTGAGCTTCAAAGAGTAAGACCAACAATAAAAAAGCTACAGTACTGAGCCATCCAGCTGATGAGCAATACCAGCTCAAGATTTTCTATGACAGAGATGCCACTGCATCTGCCTTTCAGATTGGAACCAGTCATAGCCAGGGAGTCCATCAGCACGTTCGAAGAAAATATATTCTGTGATGAGTCATCCAAACGAAGTCACATTTAGTATCTTCCTCTCTTCACTAGCCTTATAAACTTGTCCCTATTTACAATAGGGAAATAAAAACCAGCCATATATATAAGACTTGAGTACAGAACACCTTGGTGCCTTCGCCATGTGGCCATTCTCCCCCCCCTCCAAGATTTCTTGTCAAATTGTATTCCTTTGTGTGGAGAGTTGGATAAAAATCTTTTGGAAGATTTTCTAGGTTACAGCTGTGAATTGACAAAATGAAAAGGAAGAGCTTGTTGGATGCTCTGCAGTATTAGCAATTCCACAACTGTTCTTGTTCCTTGTGCAGATCTCTGTGTACTCCAATTCAGAAAGGTCCATCAACATTGGCCACACATATGTGCATGTGTGCGGGAGGGTGTGAGTGTCTCAGCCATTGATTGTTTTCTATCTAGCCATTGCCTGAAACTTTGTAAAAGTTACTATTGCAACAAAGGATCATTACAGATGTACTTAAGAATGAGTGTATTTAATATTTTTATTACTGGAAGGAGCATTTGTTGGCAATCAAGACAACACGAAACAGGACTATGTGCCCTCCAGTGTCTTCTTGGCTGAAGATCAGGAGACCTATCTCTGCAGACCTCAATGTGTATGAAATTCCAGCCTCGTTAAAACTGTTTAAATTCCAGAGGCTTCAAGTAGGGGAAAAAGACCTGGCTTTAATATTGCTGCATGCTGTATAAAAATGTTAAGTGTTTGGTAAGGTCACTATTTAAAGCATGTTTTTTTTTCTATTTTACAAATGTTCACAGTGCACTGGTAGGAATAGAAAGAACCTTCACATGCTTATTTTCCATTTTAATTTTAAAATTCAGCGTTAGAGGTCATTCCATTGAAACGTTTTCATAGCACTTGAATCCAGAATAGTTTTAGGTGCAATGCTGTCATGTGGTACAGGGCTTTGATGATCGCTTTATTCTCCTTATTTAAAGAGTTGCTGTCAACTACACACATACACAAATCACACTGTAAATAAACACACTGCCTTATGTCTGAGACAAGCACTGTTGTACTTATTAAAAGAATCCCTGTGATGTCACTCTGAACTCTGGTTTTGTAGTTATTATGTCATGTGCATGTTTTATAATAGCTGGTATTACATTTCAGTTTGCTGGTGCTGACTTAATAGTTGACTTGATGGCATGTAATTATTATACAAATTCAGATTTTTTTCCATTGTCTATCCCAAGGGTTTAAGATGGGTTATAACACCTCATTTCAGTTTAGCAAATCATTTTGTGCAGTAGATTAAAATGAGGTACAGTGACTTGTCTATCTGGCTTCAAATCTGAGCAAATTCAAATTCTAGCTGTCAATTCAGCTAAACCCTGTAAGAGCTAACAGAGAATTGGAAAATGTGGTTTCTCCCTGAAATTCATATAGAACTAAAATTAAAGGGGGGAAAAGTCCCACCCTGCCTGTAGTAACAAAAAGGGTAGAGCTGTTCATGGTCTCAGTAATGCTTGAGAATGAATTCAGAATGGTTTGAATGAATTTTTGTGAACCAAGTAACATGAAAATATGGCAGGCACAACAAAAACGGACCCCTAAAGAAAGGTAAAATTGCAGGTCATCATAGAGGTAAGAAGGATCTTAGGAGTATAGACATCAGCAGGGAGCTGCTTTTGTTCAAAGAGCAAATGCAACTCTGGGCACATGAGCAAGAGGATGATTTCCAACCTTTGAAGAGCACCTGAACTGTTCAAGAGGCATGGCTAGGCCTCAAGTGCAAAGCTGGTTATTCAGGTAAAGTCAAAAAGTGGCCGAGGAAGAAAGGATTTGTTTAAAGAGCCAGTTCAGGTTCAAATTCACTGAGCCTCTTGCACTTTACAAGAGGACAGAAGCCTCAGGACTTCACCTTTCATTTTGATTTGTCTTGTAAGAATCAGCAAACTGGGAAGCCTGATCAGAGGAAGATGAGATTTCAATTTGCATTTATTGATTTCTCCATCACATCTGACCTCATAACAAGAAAAACAAGGTCATCATTGCATCCTTGATTTATTACAACTGACCTGCAGGCAGAAAAAAAAAATAGAACTATTACATTAACACTTTGATTCCATGTAGAATACTTTAAATAGAAGGAAAAGAAGTCAAATTGTGAGAGGATAAAATAGTTGGAAGCTCTTAGAAGCCATTATGTTGTTAAAACTCCATTTTACTTACAGACGATAAGGCAATATCCCTGCACATCAGCTTCTCAATAAACCTTTATACATTTTTTCTATGGTACAGGAAGAAAAAAAATTAACCAGAGCTCACAATGTACAGTTCTTACACTATTTTCACAGCTTCTGAACACTATACATCTTTATAAACATACACTGTAATATAAATGCTGAACCTCCCTAATAGTATATTATAACAATCTATTATTAATATGCTAGATTTGTCCATGTCTCCCTCTCTCTCTGACAGTCGTATACTGAGCCTGACTGGGAAGCTAGCTTTTCTTCCTGACTGAAACACATTCTGCTTACATGCATGACAGCTGAATGGGAAACAAGGAAAGGACTACAAAAACTGTCGAATTTTTAACAGAGACAAGGAGGAATGCCCAGGAGTTTAGCATGTCCAGGTTGGAAGGCTCCACCTGTGAGCACTAGAAAATGAAATTGCTTTATTGAAATTCATCTAGCTTCCCATTCCAGTGCATTATCCAAGCTGTGTTTTTGCAAATACAATGGGTCCCTCCCCCCTCCCCAACCAGCTGGCAATAGCTATTAATTTAACAGTAATGCAGCCTTGCTACCACATATACCTCTGACCTCCTTCTGAATTCCAAATAGGATTGGACCTTAAAAATACCACTTCCACCCAGTTTTTAACTTAAAAGCGAATGGCTTATGTCCTATTGCAGACCTCCGCATGCCCTTATCATCAGTAGCAAATCATCACTGAGTAGAGACTTCCTTTGGCAATTTTGGGGTGCACGTGACTTTCTTGCATCAAGTACAAGTCACGTACACTCTCAAATTATTATTAATCTGGGTGACTTGTCACTGATGATGGCAGGATTTCAGCCAATGTCTCACTGGATGCAGATGGGGTGCCTTTAATGATAGTAACTAAAGGGTTCTTTCTCATCTGACAATAAAATCTAGCACTCCTTTTTTTCTCTCAAGTATTTTTAAAGATTTAAAATTTCAATTCTCTCATTTATAAATGTTGTTAGAAAAACCTTCATTAAAAACTAAACTCCATTTGTAGAAAATCTCAGAAGACAGAAGAAAGAAAATATGCTTAGTATCCTTTTTTATTTTTATTTTTTTGCAGTGGCTTTGGGAGTCCAACTATCCAGCTGAAGAGGATGAAGGAAGCTTATTTGATCTCATCCTGGATATCAGACAAGAAGCACAAATCCATGTCAAACCTGCTCTTTGGGAAGAGTCTAGCCTATGCATTTGGGCATCATGGGCAGGTGGATGGAGATGAATTACAACTATTCACTGATTAATAGTGTGTAATACAGCTCTTCACAATTTCAAATCCTTCAAATGTAAAGGTTTAGCCAGCTAATGAGCATGATACAGTTAGAAATCAGGGGTCATAAGCCAGTTAAATTCAGTTGAGTGTTTAATAATTTTTCAGGTCAAAGTCTTATCTCACCAGATAACAATTTACAGGACACCTAGTTCTATCAAAGAATGGCTTGCTTGGAAAATGAAATAATACAGTATTCTCCACCTCTCATGATTTTAACTAGTAGGCATCTTTCAATGCATTTTTGGTAAAGTCATTTTACATGATCACTTTCTCCCCATCCCCAAAACATGAAGTTCTGCTGAGCCACACTGTCCTCAAAACATTCACTGTGACAGAAAAGCAACAGAATTTCAAATCAGTTATCTATTGCACTTTGTGAAGAAAATATATATATATTTATATATATTTATATATTATCCCCTGTTTGCCTCTGCTGGCTCCAGAAGGTAAAAGTAGCTCATTTGGCTGCACAAGTTCTTTTTTCCCCAGGCAGAGTGTCTTTATGTCCAGAATCAGACAAACCAATGCCTAACTTCCTTTCTTTTAAATTTTCTGTAACAATTGGAAGAGTTTGAGATAATAAAATCATTCCAGTAGCTGCTGAGAAGTCTCTGAATCTAGAAATTCAGCTTAGGCGCTATTCAATCATGGTCAACAAATAAAATGTTACTTATTTCCACATTTCATGAATATGTCCACAAAAAGAGCAAAATGACGTCTCTCTTTGACCAACACTAACACTGTGTGATCAGGTATTAATGGTTGCACTTTATAAGTGACAATAATATACAGACAGAATGGAAGAAAAACACCAACATTATTGCACATGGTGTCTGGGCGAGCGTTAAAACACGGCAATATGGGGTGAAGATTCTGTACATCTTGTTTTCTCTCAGCACTTGCACTAGAGTTTTGATGTAGCAGCAGTATCAGTCAACGTACATTGGCGAGCTTGGCGTTGCTGGCATTTGATCCAGGATTTTACAAACATAGCACGCAACATCCACTGTTCGTTCCTCATACATTAGGATGAATGGATGTTTCTGGAGAAGAGACAGGAATGAAAATATGCTCATTTTTGGAAAAGGATGCTTTCATGAATCCCATCAATGGGAAAGAAGGGAGCATTAAAGTGCAATAAAAAAATCAAAATCAAAATGACTACTATCTCAAGTCCCTATTGCTGTGAGGAATCCAGATCCAGCACAGACACAGTTGGGTATAACAGTTACTATACTTGTCTGGTTGGGTTCCCTCTTTTATTTTAAACATCTAGGAGCAAGAGAGGGCAGCACATATGCAAGTGACAATATAGGTATAAAGCAGGGGATTCAGGGGGCTTCCTTGAAATCAAGGAATGTACCCAAAACTACTGGTTCTATTGCACCACTGGAGCTTAATCCAGTTCTCAGCAAATATTTATGTTAGTAGTAACAAGGACATTGGAAACACATTAAATGGACAGGTTATCTACTCTTGCTTATGCATCTACTCATGGAACTTTTGCTCCCACTACAATTGCTACTGCTATATACACTGTAAATAGCAAATGTTGATAAATAACACACCAATCTAATTCTGGGGTATTAAAATGTATGCACAGGATTAGAACCCAGCTTCATGGGACTATCCATAATCTGTATTTTGGGGAGTGTATGATTCCATCTTATAGAAACCAGATTTCAACTTTAAAAGGTTTGAATATCTTCCCTTTATAAAAATATGATACCTCAAAATTCACATTCAAAATACAAGATACATACAGGAATCAATCTGGGTAGAGACACTTTATAACAATTGCCCTTACACCTTGCAGAATTAGAGAAGCGGGATGAAGTGCGCCAATTCCAGAATCCAAACAAATACTAATTAAATATGCCATGAAGTTCTATTCTGAACTACAACGTGACTTTCAATTATCTTGGTTTGGAACCTGGCAGTTTTGCAGTACAGAATAAATGTAAATTCTTATGTTCTACGTAAAGTCCACAGTGAGATAGAATCCTCAACCTACCTACCTGTTTGTGCTCTACAGGTAGAACGTGACTCACAATCTTAACAAGCAGCAGGAGTGCTGTTGCAGAACAAATCTAACTGTAGCCTAATGCACACCTTTGAAGTAACTGGGCAAGAACACTCTCCTAAGGCTCTTAGCCAGATCTAGCTTCATGCTCTCATACATTTCCTGCCCCATGTATTTCTTCATACTCACCAGAAGCTCCTTATACTTTGGCCTTTTGGACTCATCCTTCGTAAGGCTAAAAAGATCAGAAAGGAATTAAAGAAGAAAAACTAGTAATTAAAAACCAGAGAGAATTATATATTGGACAACACAGGTTAAGAGCATTGTCAAAGCGTAGTAATGTTAAGTTATGATTATACTGTTATCTATTTGTATAGATACTAACTGCCACAAAGACTCTCTGCCCTCTCTTCTTTATGATTTATTCAATGGACTGTTCTTAGTGGGTATACATGAAAATACTCAGCATCATTAGTAACTATAACCCATGGGTAGTCCTTTCACCTCACCATTGTGTTGTCTGTTTATAAATTCTCACCACTGGGATTACAGACTTTCCTACATCTTTCACAAGAAAAGTCCTTTCTTCCATCTTTCAACAGGCCAGTGTAGAATTACATTCTAACTATAAAATATTGGTCTAAATTCTAGAGCAGACTCATAGAACCAAGGGAATTTAACAAAAATATCGACTTGCCATTCAGCAACTGAGTCAAGGAGTCCACTCTGGTTGGACTTGGGTCAAGACTCTAAAAAATAATTCTTACACCAATGCTTCTTGTCAGGATAGCAATTAATCGTAAATACAGGCATTCACATGGGAAGGCCAAGAAGAAATCCCACTGACCACTTTCCCCTTCTAAGAACGGAAATGCATTTCTCAGTTCAAGCCATCAAGCTCCATCTTGCATATCAACACTTGCAAGCAATTAGCTCTAGAGCACAAATACATTTTAAAATGAAGAGCCACTTGTTAACTCCACTAGCAAAATTAAAGTTATAACAAATCAGCATGGCAGCAAATCCATACCAAGATTGTGTTTGCATAAGCAAGCATTGAATAAGTAAAGATGCTGTCTTGCATCCTCACTCCAAGAAAGAACTAGAAAGCCACAGCTAATTCCCATTACAGTGAAACTGGTAAACTATTATTAGGGGCTTCACAATTTCAAAACAAGCCAAAACACAAAATCATGGCTGAAAGTTGTATTCCGTATCTTGTCCACCTTGGAAACTGTTAATCAAAGTTCTTCCTCTGAATGTAACAGGCCGTTACAGTATACTACAATCTCCTGACTTCCGTCAAAGGAATAGCATACTGACAACTTGGCTTCTCAAGCCAAGATCTGAATATTCAAAAACAATCCACGGTACTGAACCATGATTGAAGAGGATAGGCTGAGAAGTTTCTACACAAGGATACAAACAGTTACTGCTTTAATCAGTCCTGTAAAGCTTACGCTGGCCAGTATGTTTCTTTTCCTCAAAATGCTCCTCTTCTACTTTGTCCTATTCTCATAAGATGCTCTGAGGCTATTTTTATTTTGAAGATATCTTGAAATGCTCCAATTCCTGGAATTATCGCTGATGTACCGTTTATTTCCGTGTATAAGACAACGCTTTTGTCTAAAATCTTTAGACTAAAAATCAAGTGTTGTCTTATACACAGAAGTAAGCCAAGGAGAGAACTGCACAAATGCAAAACTGTCCATACCTTGACTCTGCAAACAGACTTCCTCCAATCACTGAGGCTTAGCTTCCTACAGTCTAGAGACTTGGCTTCCTCCAATCATGAACCTTATGTAAATGACATCAGCTGATTCTGAACAAACCAATTGGAACAAACCTCGTTGGAGGTGGAGGATATAGGCAGTGCTCAGATGCAACCGAGACTGGTAATGTCCAAGTGTTCTGACCACAGAGACTGAATAAAATGATATGCTCAAAACTAAATGTGATGCATAATATGACAGTACTGGTATGTAAATGTTACCTAGTTACTAAATAAAAATGTATTCTGTTTTATGTTTAAAATATTGATTTCTTAATTTGGGGTTAGAAAAGTGGAGGGGTGTCTTATACATGGGTGCATCTTAATATGCGAAAAAATACTGCAGATCCAATATTCTAAGTGCTTGTTTGTTGCTCCTGAGCCCCTTCTGTTGTACTAACTGCAATGAGATCAAGTGACTCAAATCTATCTCTATTTTTGTCCATACTACACTGCAGTAATTCTGGCCAACAAAATGCATTTACTAGTCTGCAAGTCAACAAAAGTCCCAGAAGCAGGCACTAGGGTGATGGGTGCTCTACTCGATGCAGCCAGCACTGCACTATTCCACTGAGTACGTAGCAAAGAAACAATGCCAAAACAGGGAAGCCTCATTAACTGGAGCATTTGAACATGTATGGCTTAAGGCATCAATTACTAAAGGTCGCTCTTATTAAAGACAATTGTTCAGGAGAGGCCTCTCCAACTCCATTTCACTTACTGCTAGTGGTCAAATGTGAGGCATCAGTAAAGTAGTTTTATATAGGTAGAAATCCTGTTGCTTAGCATGGTAAGTCACACCGCAGTAGGCCCACTGAATCATGGGATTTGGTGAGTCAACTCCTCCATAAGTTCCATTGATTCAAATGGGCCTACACTAGGTGCTAGAGTATTATGCTAAATTCAGTTAGAGGAGGCCCACTGAAATTGCTAGAACTTATGGAAGAGTTGATTCACCAAATCCCCTGATTCAATGGGCCTACTCCGGTGTGACTTACCATGCTAAGCAACAAGACTTCAGCAAATGTATAAGTAGCAACTGAACTAAGACCTAGGGTGGCATGCTTCCAAATCTTTGTCAGAGCCAATATCACATAAGCAGCACAAGCTAGAAGGTCTTTTAATAATGATACCTTCCAAAATAGGTTTTCCTGGTGCTGTCCTTGTGACAAATTCAACATAAGCTAGAAGACATTTCAGGGCTTTTATATGATTTACATGGTTCAAGCGTTCCAGTTTTAAAGCTCTGTATTCCTGTTCTGTTTCATGTTGGTTTTATGGCTTTAGATTCTGTTTTGTATCTAATCGTTTTCATGTTTCTTGTACAGAGAACTTCATGTTATGAGGTGGCATGCAAACCTCATAGAAACAAAATAACTAAGTATTAAGTTAAGGTCTGCAAGTCTTTCAAGACACTTAGGTTTCCACACATATTTTCCCTGACATTGGCAGGCTATTCCAGGAGTGAGTATGCAATAAACAATCGCACTGAGCCTTTGAGGAGTGGAAAGTCCTACCAGTGTCATTCAAGTGGACTTAAGCCACTTGAACTAGCACTGCCATTGCATAAGCCGAGGGTGTATTTTCTTCACGGAGACATCTGCCTACACAATGGTAACACTTGTGTGAGTAGTATAATTCTATGTTATTTATCTTAGCAGAACCACCCACTTGATGGAAGTTCAGTATTTCACATTGTCTCCAGCATCATGGGAACATTCTGTTGTTGCTGCCACATGCAATATAAGCAGCAGTAAGCCCTATTTTGAACCAGCTACTTGGCAGCAATGCCCAGAGTAGACTAGGCTGAGACATACTCACCACAAGTTGACAAAGTTGATAAAACTTTGGGAGAACTCCCGTTCCTCTGAGTTGCTCAGCTGTGGTGGGTCTCCCTTGACTACTTGTGTCAGCTGATCGAATACACTATTCCATTTAGGATAGGGGAACCGCCCTGTGGCCAGCTCATACTATACCAAGGAGAGAGCAACAATATGACCTAAATTAGTCAGGGCAGAGTACACAAACAGGTAGCCTGGGAATAAACAGTGTGTTCAAACTTTACAGCATCTTTAGATAGTCACTGAAAACATGACTTCTACTCTTGAACATATGCTGAAGACACATATCTTAGATAACACTTCGGTATTTTATGTTCTGGGTTATAATGTCCATGAGTTGCTCAGCATATGTGTCTGCAGGTATGTTGTTGCTTTTTGATCAGGCTGTTGATACTTAGCTTGACTGTTGTTTCTGCGCTGGTTTTTAAATGCTAACCATCCTTCAGCACATATTTAACACGCAAAATATAAAAATAATCACATATTCCTGAAGCAGAAGGCATTGCAATTCTGTTCAAGAATTGACTCCATTTCTACTGCATAAAACACACAGTTGCAATAGCAGACATAAAGGATACAGTTCTGAGCATATTGAACTGATGGGAGATTCTGCATAACAGAAGTCTGTCACTCAGAAGAGTAGTAAAACAGTGACTTATTTACCTTTCTGTGACCCATTCTTACACACGTTTGCATATCATGATTTAGACAGAAACAGACACAGTTCCTAGTTTCAATGTATGTTCTTCTTCCTCTACTAACCAGCAATAATTATTAGGTTATTTCCATTTATCTGTGTAGCAAACAGCATGACTATGTGTGTGGGTCACTCCTGTTCTTCCTGTTCTCCCCTCTGATTAGTGGGTCCATACCTACCATAAACTATGAACTGTATGCACCCAGCATGATTGGGCAAATGCAGGGGTACTTGTGTCCCCCCAAAAAAAACTCACTAGGGATGATGCCAGAACCACTCTGTAATACACAAATACTGTCTTTCTCACACATTTTCAATTAAAGGGAGAAAAAAGTGCCCAGCAATGAAAAGAGAAATGTTAGTTTAGATTGTTGCATCTGCTATCTTTCTTTCTATACCACCCATCTGGCAGCCAGGGCCATGCTGGGCGATTTACAACAGTAACAAAACCATAAAATAACAAAATAACATCAGTTAAAGAGCAAATTAAAATATCGTAAATAAGGTGAATAAATAAATCTTGAATAAATAAATCTTCATTTCCCCAGGATCAAACTAGGCCCTGATGAGATGGCCAGTAGATCTTCTGCTGAATATTTACTTGTATGGAACTCCAATTCTGGAAGTCATCACAGTGATCTGATGAGATGCCAGTTGTTTCCCTCCCTGGTCACATGCAACCTGCCCTGTGACAGATCACTGCTATAGTGCTTCTGTGGTTGGGGATCTGCCCAAGTGTAAATATTAATCAAGATACAGTATTGGCCAATACAATTTTTTGAGGGGGAGGGGAGGTCTACAAGCACTCTGGAGGATGGGGTTGCTGAAACACTATGTTTCAGCAACCCCATGTTAAACTGCTTCTACAAGTAGACCAAATCGAAGACTGCTGGGCCTTATCTTATGCCTGCAGGAAGAGCAAAGGCCATATTTCCTCATTTAGTGGCTCCAATGGCAGAGCAAAGTCAGTACCCTTGAACAGGGCTAAGCAGATCAGAAAGTGACGGCCTGGCATACAGCTCTGTCATGACAATGCATTCATCCACAAGAATAATGTCCATCTAGCTTTTACACTTTTCAAACCCTAAAGCCACCCATAAGCAGATTTAGGGTTTATCTCCAGTGCCATGCAATGCCTGAGATGCTTCTTACTTACCAATGTAATCCCTAAGCTCCAAACATCAGAGCGGACATCATATCCTTGCCTGGATGCACTAGGGTCTATCCTTTCCGGCTGAAATTAGACAACAACAAACTGTTATATACAAAAAAGATGGGAACACTCAAGCAGCAGGATGTGGATTTATTGATACATCCTGTCCCTTTTCCAATTTTTGGCCTACTGCACAGCAGTACTGTACATATCTTAGTTGAAATAAATCAAAATTTTACAGTCATATAACTCATGTTATGGGGTCTGCATGCAAACAACTAGCCAAATGTTAAGTGTCCTTTTCACCAGTAGAGATGCTAGGTTATTGAAGTGTAAATATGATTTGCGTTCTGCAATAATGGCTAGTCAGCATGAGCTGGACATGCTGCAATATAGACTGACAGCTCTCACACCAAGCTAATTCAATAAATATATTTGATTTATGAAACAGAGTGTGGTAATTATCAACTGATTGCTTCCCCACTGTCTTGCTTCTGTCCTGATCCCAAAACAAAGAGAATGTGAAAGTACAGAGAAAATACCACACTGTTGTTATGCAAGCCTTATTCTTCATCCCAACCATTAATTCCCTTAGCACTTCTTTTTTTTTTCCTAGCTTGCACAACAGGTGTTGTCGGGTTCCTCCCAGTCATATATTTACAGAGGCCTGTAGGCATGGGGTTGGTGTGCTCACAAATCACCGCTGCAGTTCCAAACTGTTCTTGTGTTGGATCTTCTCTAACTCTTTGCCCCACGCAAGCACTTCTCCAAAGCATGGACTGCAATTCACAGGCAAGAGCAGGCAGGTCTTAGCTCAACTAAAAATGATGGTGCTTCTTCTCCACATTTCTCATAATCAGAAAAGTGGGCCCATTTGCCCTTATACACAACTCTTTGGCTAATGTAGTCACAATCGTAGATTCCGGTGAGGAAAGATACTCAACTCCCAAGTCTCACTATTGACACACGCTGCCCCCAGGGCCAAAGCACCCGAGACAAATACTGGCCTCTCTGGTGAAGCCAAAAAGAAAGAGAAAGGAACCAAACATAATGTTGGGAGGCTCCTTCACACACACACTGCAAAATCTTTTAAGCCCATCAGCCCCTCTTCCAGTATGTCTTGTGTGTAAATGTAGGTCAATGTTGAGAGAATGAAAGCAACATTTCTCACTTAGACAAAGGACCCATGTCCTGCCCATCTGGAAGAGACAGTTTTGGCACCAGTACAGGACACTCACCTACTGGAAAAGCCTTTCAATATAGGCCTTAAAAAGATAATGGTGAATCTACTAAAACATTAAAATCAAGAAAGATGTTTGAAGAAATGAAAACATGAAAAAAGAAGGAAAAAAATCAGTAGCCAAGATGTACAAGCTCTGCGAGGGGTGGGGAGGAAGAAAGATTAGCTTCAACTCAGTAAGAGCCAATACCCATATTATGTCTCTGGTGGCTGAAACAGAACTGACCTGGAGCCTGCACAGTACAGGAACAGGGTCGGGTTCCTCCCAGAACTCTTAAGCTATGGGAGGATCCTGAAGCATGTCTTGAGCATGCACAGAATACAAATGTGTTATGCACAGGGATCACAACAAGACTGGCCATGAAACTCAGTGGGTGACCTTGGGCTACTTACTATCTCCTAGCCTAAGCTATCACACAGTGCTCTTGTGAGGACAAAATGGGGTGAGGGGCCATGCACATTGCCTTGAGCACCACAACAGGAAAGCAATGAACAACTGTAGCTAGTAAATAACTAACAAACAATTGAGTCACACAGCCATCATTTCAAGGAAGCACTACATCCTTACTTAGAGCCACGTTCTATTTTATGAATTATTATAAGAATCAATATCACAGAAATTATGACTTTTTTGTTCTTCACTGGTGCTGTCTGTTTTTATGTTTTCCTACTGGTGGTGCTTAAGTTCTTCTTATTTTGATTTTATGATTGTGATTACTGTTTCATTTGGCACAGCCAGGAATTTGAAACAACCTGAATGTGCCTCCCAGAAAGAGGCGGCAGCCAAGATCACCTGGAGTGTGGGCCGCTGATGGAACAACGGGCCCTGCTACCTCTGTGGCACTGGGCCAAGATGCTCAGTCCCTGAGCACCGGCGGAAGGGGTGACTGGTTAAAAAAAAAAACCCTGGAAAGATTACATTGCTGCAATTGATTTGACAGAACATCATCATCATCACTACTGCTTGTTTCTTTCTTTCTTTCTTTCTTTTAAGTAGGAAACTATCTTCAAAATACCCCAAACTAAAAGGTAAGGGGGAAATATATTAAATAAATAAATACAACATGTATGTATCCAAAGGAGGCCAGTCTATTAAGAAGACTGGGAGACCCACTTCAGGCAGTGAAATGTTAGGCAAAGCAAGCTGTGATGTTTCCTCTGCTGCTACTACCCATGATGCCCAGACAACCAAGTGCCCCAGGCAGCCCCCCCCTGGGCCGACCCGGTGTGCTGCCAGCAGAGCTGTTCTCCAAGAGTACCTGGCCCATAACCTGGGGCTTTAGGAACACCTCGGGGTCAGGTGTTCAGAGCCTTGCCATGTCTGCGCCTGTGGAGAGCAAGTGCCAGTTCGTCTGTGCAGGTGCTGCTGCCTTCCATATAGAGGCAAGCAAGTGGGAAAGGTGTGGCGAAAAAGCAGAGGTTACAAGGATGATAGCAGCAATGAGCAGTGACAGTATTCTGCTCGTGCCTCAAGTGGCTGGACAGCTTGGGCCACTACTGGATTTAATTATTTGGAAGCGAGTCAATAAGAATGAATCCCTTTACCTTAAATAATCCCTACCTTCTCTGCGAAGCCTGTCAACAGATCGTTTTGTTCTGCCCTTAACATTACCCAGTGCCAAGCTGGCTTGGAGTCCTGTTACTGAATACTTTGCTTCACTCAGCCCCACGTTCTCACCTCACTCATCATGGGTAAGTTTTCAAACCACACTTACTGCCATGTAGGGCCGGCACCCAGCATCTCTGGTTTTGGCAATGGAGTCTACGAGTTGTCCACTGATGCCAAAATCACAGAGTTTAATATTTCCATTTCTGTCCAGAAGAATATTGGAAGGTTTAATATCTGCAAAGGATACGGACACAAACAGACACAAACGTAAGAATTTATGCTTCAGGCAAAATACTTCAATTTCAAACAAATGAAAGGTACATGACAAAAAATGCACAAAAATCAGGACTGAAGACGATGTCCACAGCTAAGCCTTCTTTCTCAATTAATAATTTTTAAATAAGCTGTGCTTATGTTTTATGTCACTTACTGTATATCTGAAGAACACTTCTAAAATAACTGGCAAACTACACATTACACAAATTCGGTGACTCCTCAGCCCAATATTATTATTTTAGACTTAAGAACAGGTTGGTGTGTGTGTGTGTGTGAGGTGCAGTGCTGAAAAAAAGCAGCTCTACTTTTTCATTTTGCAAAACAGCATCATATCTGAATTGGCCCTGTAGCCCTGAGAAAGAACTGATTTGTAAGAGCTGTGGAAATAAAGTTCATTAGCAAAAGGAAATTTTAATATCACTGTCAGAAGGCTAGCTTTACAGAACTTAAAGGAGCTGAGGGATGAAGCACATTATCATCCTGGGAGGGGCAACACATGGCCCTTCCACATGAGGTGGACCATTCCATCCCACAAGCTAAACCGGCTAGAGCTGCCACGGGCAAGCCCCTTTGCATAACCCAGATGTTCCTCCTAGTCTTCTGCTCGATTTCCTTGGCATAAAAGCTGTATTTTAAAAATGATGACTTTGTCCACAACCACTGCTAGATATGAGGAAAGCTGACACAAATTTAGGCTTTGGGTTTGGGTTGGGTAGGGTATCGGTTGAGAAAATAAGAGGAAACGAATCTTCATTGAACTTCCATCCCCGTAAACCATTCCCTGCACTGTTTCTGGAGGCCTGTCAATTACGTGCAGACAATTTTTCAGGTTGAAGGATGGGAAAAGGGAATGCTTCCAGTCAACCTCACAATTAAAGCTACAGTACAAAATGTCCTATGGTTTAAAAGAGAAATTATCTTTACAGAAAATACAAATCCAGACAAACCTACCTCTGTGAATAATTTTCAAGTTTTCTTTTAAGTGGTTTAGTGCTTTCACAGTCTAGGAGAGAAGCAGAGGTTTTTATGGAGTAAGATATATACCGTGTTTCCCCAAAAATAAAACAGGGTCTCATATTAATTTTTGCTCCAAAAACATATCAGGGCTTATTTTCAGGGGAGGTTTTTTTTCATTTACAACTATCTACATTTATTCAAATACAGTTATGTCGCCCAGAGTAGACTTGTGTCTAGATGGGCGGGGTATAAACAAACAAACAAACAAACGAACGAACGAACGAACAAACAAACAAACAAATGAACGAATGAATGAACGTCATCTTCTGGTTGTTGCACAATGGTGGAAGGTGGGGTTTCACTTAACTAGGGCTTATTTTTGGGGTTGGGCTTATATTACGAGCATCCTGAACAATCATACTAGGGCTTATTTTCAGGTTAGGTCTTATTTTGGGGGAAACAGGGTAGTATACGTCCCATTATTACACAACTCAAAATCAATTAATGTTAACTAAGATGCATCTCAGAAAGCTTATAAGGCATACAATGAAAATGCTCCTTAACATTTAACAGTACTAAAATGTTACAGGCAGTTAACACAAACACAATGCAACAGAAATGTTATTTAGGGGAATGTGGAATTTTGATTTGGAATTTTAAAAATTCAGAATTTCTAGATATCCAGAACTCAGTTTTAATCAATATTAATACTATATAGTCAATTAGTTCCCCATTTAAAAAACACATACACACAAGGAAAACATTTTTAAAGGATTTCCCTGTGTCTTCAACATCTTCCCAGTGATTTTGCCAAACCATCCAACAGCCAGCAGTGCCACTGATTTTGGTGTTGTTCTGACTCTTCGTTAATTTATGATGATTTTTTGTTTTTTCCATTGGAAACCATTAGACAGACCATCCAATGGTTTCCTATGGAGAAAAAACAAAAAATCATCATAAATTAACGAAGTGTCAGAACAACACCAAAATCAGTTTGCATAGGTTTCAGGAGGTGGACTAACCATTGCAATCATTTAAAACAGCGTCCAAACATTGTAAGACACTTTTACAGGAGCGAAAAAGGACTTCGCAAAGGCATTGAAATGTATTGAGTCGGCTTCAATACATTCCAATATAGGAAACATTGTTTCACTCAACGATGTTTCCTATGGGGATTTTCACTGAACAATGGCAATCTGTTCCAATTGGAACGGATTAACCGGTTTTCAATGTATTCCTATGTGAAATGGTGTTTCACAGAACGATGTTTCACACAACGGTGATTTTTTTGGAACCAATTAACATCGTTGTGTGAGGCACCACTGTATTAGGAAATGACTGTAACAGGCATACTGATTGAACCCTGAACAGTGGGAATGTCAGCAGGAAAAGCCAGCAGCACGGAGGAGGCAAAGGACAGGTCGCGCTGGGGGTGGGCGGGCAAATGCCCTGGGCAGCAGTAGCAGGTAGATTGGAGCAGCAGACAGCCAGTGGTGGGTGGGGATTGTCCCAAGAGCATGGGGCACAGCACAGTTGAGTGAGTGAGCACAATATTGGAGTAGCAATTGGAAGAATGAAAGAGGCAGAGGGAGAGGCATCAGACTGAGGCATGGCATACCAAGCACCGTGAGCAGAGTGGACCAGTCTCTCTTACTTAAAGGGGGTCTTCAGGGAAGCCCAGTAACCTTGAGGAAAGTAAGATTTTCTGGACAGCAAGCTTGGAGGTGTGAGCAGTGTGGACTGGCAATGAGAAAGCACCCTCTCACTGGTCACACACCGACTAGTGGACAAGACAGCATCCCCACTGCCACTTTGGCTAGACTCCTCCTCAGACCAGTAAGACAAGCTGTTAAATTTGGAGGTTCAAGAGGGTTCCTAGAACCCTCCTTCTTCCACAGGAAGGCAAAACTGTCGCGGAAGAGGTCTTTGAGCCTACTGGCCAGGGCCACAACTTCCAACTGGAAAATAATGCTGCTCTCTCTCTCTCTCTGGAATCCCCCATCCACTGAGACTGTCCCCTCATTTATGCCTTCCACCATGCCAACCAAGCCCTAGAACATTGGGATCACCTGCCTATGGATGGCTGTCTCCCCACTGCAGACCTGTGGTGCAGTCTCAACGCTTATAGACTTTACTGCTGCAGACAGATATCGTTTACAGGTTTTGCTCTCACCCCAGCACACCTCTCTTGGGAAACTCATGGCAATCTCAATCAAGAGAGACTGAGTTCTCTGCCTTGGTGACAGAGTATCTTTAAGCTTCATTTCTCAAGAAATCACTACAGGGTGCCTGAGAAATAGGTTTCACTTTCCTCTAGGAAGCAAAAATGCAGTCTTTTGCTTTCTCATATACAGGAGTCCCAATATAAGGAATTATTACTACAGATGTTTGGAACTATCAAATTTGGATTCAGGTATATTCAGAAATATCTAAATACAGCAGTATTCAGTGAATTCTGAATATTTCCTAATCCAAATGCACATCCCTAGTTTCTGCCTCTTGAGAGACAAATTAGAAAGAGACAGCCAAGTGGGTGTTAGCCCACCATGTGCATCTGAAGAATGAGAAAGATCTGGTTTTTAAAATATCTGTCCAACTACTGTAACGTAGCCTAAAGAGACTCAGAGGATATATCTGACTTGCAATTCTATTTAACATCCACAGGAAACCACCGAGAAAAATCTTCTGGAGTTGGGGTGTCTCTGTCCTAAGTGCAGCCACACTGACACACACCCAACTCTTCTCTCTGTCCTTGACATCTAACTTCCAAAAAAACTGCTTTGGTTTCAGATGTTGATGTCAGAAATGGACTGTGTAAAGGCAAACAAACTGAAACTTAATCCAGACAAGACAGAAGTGCTCAGAATCAGTTGAAAAGCAGATCAAGGAATAGAGACAGAGCCTGTGTTAGGTGGGGTTCTGCTCCTCATGAAAACCCAGGTTCAAAGTTTGGGTGTATATTCCTGGATTATGATTTGAGCCTGGACACCCAAGTTATGGTGTTGGACAGAACTCCATTCATTCACAAAAAGCATGCCGTGCAGTGTCTGAAGCTATCTGTTCTGACTATGGTGACACATGCCTGCATTGATAAGTGAGGCAATAGCGCCACTTAGGACAGAGACAACATATGCACTTGCCTATGCTGGAGAAACTAGTGATATCAGAGAATAAACGGCTTCATTCTCTTTTTACACTAGCCAGGGTTGTAATCTGAATTGTATTTATTTTGTAAGCCGCCCCGAGTAGACATGGTCTAGAGGGGCGGGGGAAAAATCAAATAAATAAATAAAATAAATAAATAAATAAATAAAATTTGACTAAATTCCGCAAACCAAATCTCATTCCACCAAACCTGAATGTAACAGGCCAAGCTCATACAAGAGGACTTTCAAATCTTTTATTTCCAGCTTGCCCCACTTAAGAGGCATACCCATGTCTCGCTGCATTCTTGCTCTTGCCAAGCCTAGACTTCCCCTCGCTCCTGACAAGTCAAGATCTCCACCTATTCTAAGATGAGCCTGTTTAGATTTAGGATGTGCTGAATCTCTTAAATGAAGAAGGGGGAATATGGGGCAAGTAATACATACTTAATATTTCAGATTTTTCTACAACTTCTACTGAAAATGATGCTTTCAGCAACTAGTATTTTGAAGACTGCTGTTGCTAATTATATTCACAAGAGAAATCTACTTTTTCCAGAAGTTCTTTTCTGTCTAGTCTATTCTAAAGTGGAAAACAGTTGAAACATGTCAGTTTCACGTGTAACATATGTTTTAAGTCCCCAAATCTATTCGCCATGTAGCAACCCAGAAAAAAAAAGTCAGCTTGTAATCGCAGTGTAACAGCAAAATTTAGTTAAGGAAAATAAGCTCCTATCTAGAACCTTAAGCAAAGCAGATAAGTACATAGAAAGGGAAGAAGCACATAGAAATAACAGAAATAACACCACTTACAGCTAAAGTGATTTTGCCTAGAATTTCTTCTGGAATAACGTCATCTAATACACTATATACATATTTGTAAAATTTGTCAAACGAGGTAGACATGAGCTCCATACAGATCCAACAGTCACCCTAGAAAAGGAGAAGGAAAGACAGAAATCTTTACACTGTTGTCAAGTGGAATTAAAACCTGGGATACTCAATATGTACCCCTTTCTGATGGATTGGCAAGGCAAGAGAGGACATGCGCTACACACAGCATTGATGCAAATCCCATTTTACTAATCTGGAGAAATCAGAACAATTGGCATATACCTTTCATCGAAAGAATTCAGTAATTCATCCTGACAAAATATTATGTTCCCTCTTTTGTCAAATGGCAATTTATCTCATTAAATAGAAGATTGTTTTACTTTTGCTGAACATATTGCTTCATTACAGTAACAACTACAAATCTGAAAATAGATCTTGCAGACATTTATAAAACACTTCATAGAAACACATTGCCTATTCCTGATGCCAAGCTTGCTGGCTTGCAGTTTCACAAACCTTCGTTACAACAGATGTAGCCAGTTTTCCTATAAAAAGAGCTCCACATCTTCTTTGTCCTACATCAGCTATCAGAACAAATAATTGCTAACAGATTGTATTTAATCTTGTCAAACTTTCCCACTAAGTTTGTCATGGGCAATATTATTATTTTTTCTATAATTACACACAGGCAAAGTATGCAGGCACGCAGGCATGCACGCACACACAGAGAGCTTTAGATAAAAATAATATGTTATAAACAATGGCACTGTGTTCCTCATAACCCTTTGATTACTTTAGATACCAGCACCACCACACTCTTTCTGCAATGTACTGTCAGTGGAGAACACCACACATGTTCTTGGGCGACTCCTAGGTCTCGCTTCATGACACCATGGCCCAAAACACCTCAGTCAATACCCTGCTCCAAAATATGTCCCAGAATATGTCTCAGCAATATGCAGGGATCAGACAAAAACACTTCTCAGAATGAAGTGGACACTGTTTCCTGAACAGCCTGCAAGGGTCCCCCACTCAAGATTCTCAGACTCAGAACCAGGAAGCTCAGTGGGTGATGGTGGGCAAGAAACCAGTTTAGTCTAATCTACTAGTTCACAGTGTTGTTGTGAGGATCAAACTGATAAGAAGATGCAAAGATGAACACACTATGCTAAACTTCCTTGAATGAACAGAAGAACTGAATTCAGGAATTTGGAAAAATATGGAGAGCCATACAATGAAGGGGAGGGGGTGCTTGCTCCTGTTCCTATCATTACTTTCAACATATTTATTTATCTATTTATTTGATTTGATTTGATTTGTATCCCGCCCATCTGGTCTGGTCGAACATGCGACTCCAACAGACTTAAAAAGGATGTGTGATGCATTTGTTTAAGTTCTCTGGGAGAGCTGGAATCCATTTATTCATGTGCTGGCTCATGGGGAGAGGTGCAACGGACAAAATAAGACAAATTTAAAAAGCACTATAACATCTCATTAATGTTTTGGATCAATCAGGAACCAAAACTGACAGTATTCTACTCTTAACAGCTGGTGCAATGGTAATTTTTTCTTTACATGTATCTCTCATTCCCCAGCGAGATTACCCAGGAAACTGCCATCTGCTGGCTCCTGGATAGATGGATTTTGTCACACATGAAAAACCTGTGGAGTTAACCAAATTATATATTACAAATTAAGCAATGTTTGAGTGCCTACCTCTCTGAAGAGTGCTCCATAAAACTGAACAATATATGGACAGTCACTACTTCGCATAACTACATCTAAATCCATTAAAAGCTGTTTTTGCTCCTTTTCATCCACTGTTGATCGAATTCTCTGAAAGAATAAAAAGGGAAGAGATATTATCACCCACTAAGGCAGAGATAATAAGTCGTTGCTAGATAGGTATTTTACAGTATCAATAAAATATTCAAACAGAAAAATCTGAGGCTGCCAAAGACTTTAGTTAGACAGTGGTCTAGCAGATAAATATAAACAGCTGTTTAAAGTAATTAAGTTGAACACATTCTAATTAGCAATTAGGCACAATTACTTCCACAAACAATGGGAACAATACAGGAACTAACTATCAAAGGGTTTAAAAGGCTACTTATCTTAATACAATGGTGCCTGTCTAATAGATCAGTGGGGTATTATGTTACAACATGCTGTTTCATTTCCAGGCCCCATAGAGCCCCACAATAAGGAGAGCAGCACTGACTGACTGACGAAGAACTGGGTAGCTCAGTACATTGGGGATGCAACAGATTGTGCTGCTGATTGCTCTAATGTTTTTCCTTCTTCCTAATGGCTGCACAGATGACTGTCCATTTCACCCAATCCAATCAAGAGAGAATCAAGTAGGTAATGGATTACAAGCCAAACAGAGGTACTAGGCTAAACACAGTAGTGGAAATGTGAACATCTTAAAAACAGTGGCCAGAATCCTATTAGTGTTTTATCTAAGGTTTAGTAACTTATAACAGCTAATCATGGACTGCTGGGATGCATCCTGACTGTGTATGTGCAGTGATGTGTCAGACTGTGCAATTGAGATGCACACAGCATCTTGTCAATTAGCCCAATTAGCTAATCAAGTTACAAAGACATAAGGCAAACACCAACAGAATTATGTCGACTCTTTTAACATCATCAGCTGAATTAAATCAAAATACTACAATTTAATAATTGATCATTTTGTAGAAAGAGGACTCAAAAATTAAATTTGTGTGTAAATCCTAATTATTGGGAGCTCAAATAATTTATGCCATGAAGTTGATCAGATTTCTACATTCCTTATAAAAAAAATGTTTATTTAAGAAGCAAAACAATTCACTAACCATACATATTAATCCCCCTCCTTCAAAGCTACTGGAAATCATTTTCTATGTGTCCATTTTCCATGGCACGAGTGGTACAACTTGGGAAAAGTTTGAGAACGTTTAGAGAGGTAATAAACACCTGCCACTGCGAAAGAAAAGAACTTTTGGCAAGCCGTGACACTACTTGTTAGTATCAGACAAAGAGACCTCTCAGGGTTCATATCTTGACTAGCAGCACCCTCTGCAGTTAAGCCTATGTAATGCTCACATTCTAAATAATGTCATTTTGCTCTTCAGTCTGTTCAATCTCTTCCCTCCTCTTTTAAAAAAAACTTTAGAAAACAACTGTAGTTCACCTTTTACAATAAGGAAGAGATCAACAATATCTCCTTGGATGAAGATCAGTTTTTGCAAAATTTTCCATAATAATTTTGAAAGTCATGTAAAATGTTATATGATTTTAATAATGCAGTTTTGTAAATAAATGTCATCCAATGGAGACAAGGGGAGTGGTTTATCCTTTGAGGAAACAAATCAGTCATAAATAAGAAGAAAACGCATTTCAAACAATGTGTGTCACGAATTTTCTGTCATCATGGGTAGAGTCTAAAACAGTACACATCCCCCTCTGTAAATTTCAGTGCATAGACAATTATTGCTGTTGCCTGAACAGGTCACAGGAATAGTAATATAGCAAAAAAGTTATTTTATTAAAGAGACAGAATACATGCAAAAACAAAATCGCTGGAGCTCCTTTGGCAAGAACTGTATTGGTTAGTTAAGTTGGGTAAATGCAATGTCAGAAACTGCAGGAGGAAATTGTTGCTTGTTAACAAGTCACTATTTATGTCTTTTGTCACACACAGATTGCTTTTGTACACAGTGAAGAATGCAAGTTTTTAAACTAGCAGGATTCACTGTGGCAATTTATGCCACTGCACAGAAACGGATGTTAACTAATCAACAGGATTTGGCCAATGAAATGTGTGCAAAGTAACATTCAAGTTTAACATTAAGAAATATTCAATAAATGCTGAATATTACAGGAAAAATGTATTAACATGCAATGAACATTCTTCCAAAGGTGTGGTTGTGGCATCCGCCCAGGTCATGCATATTCATATGCTATCTGCACAGACCAATGGGAGTGCTGGAGGGGTGGAGTCACAAGGTATAAGAGACTCAGCAGCAGGAGGAGTTTAGATAGGGAGTTTGAGATAGAGTTTAGTCATTAGGGAGCTGAAGAGATTGAGAGAGTTTTGAAGTTTGGGCTGGAGAGGTGGTTGAGAGTGAATAAAGGAGAATGTTTAAGAGTTAACAACATTGCTTGTTCTGTCAACACCAGTATAAATAAACAATTTCTATTTGTTTTAAAATTACATATGGCCTGGACCTCAATTATTAATAATAGGTATTGTTAATGGAATCAACTGGTGGGAGCTGAGGGGCACGTAGCGTGAGCTCTTCGTTTGGTGAAACAAGCAGGGGCCACGTGGAGATCATGACAGTGGTATTAAGCAGAATGAAAAGTAGAGCAATGAAATGGTAAAGTACTATCCCTCCATCTAAGTTTGACAATCATCTTCCTTGGTACAGAGCATGCAGGGATCACTAACTCCTTCAAAGAGTGCCTTTTTGTGGCATAAATATTAATATCAGCATTATAATCTGGCAATCCATTTTCTGGTATCAGTTTGAATCTGTTACCCAATCTTTTTCCCCACAGCTGGTAGTGATAGCATTTTCTAGCTCAAATAACCAATACTACATGAGAACTAATCAAATATTTCCCATCTGAAAACTACATATTGAAACTATATTCGGATCCACAAGTGGTAACATTGTATTGCATATCTTACCTTCATTGTTCAGTTTTAATGTTTTCAACAACTTTTAACCACCATTTACTCTTCCGCCTCTTAAATCTGGTTAAGTGTAATTACAAATTGCAAATCAATCAATCAATCAATCAATCCCGTAAACCCAGCTCTGCAATTGTGGGCACAGATAAAGCCCACACAGGATCAAAACGGAGCTAAAGGCCCAGGGGAGCAAGATATCAAACTACAGAACCGTTCACCTCCAGGTCACTGGCTGAAACCCATCTGACAGCCATTCCGTGCTATTAAAAATATGGCAGGTTTGTAATTGATTTGGCATCAAGGACTGAACTGTTGAGGTTATGTGTTCCAATGAACGGTGACCCTAATAGGATTTTTAACATGCTGCAATGTTCAAGGAGTTGTTTATCCATTGTCATGAAGCTCTCAATGGGTTTTCAGACCCAAGTGGGGATATAAACTCTGGTCTCCTGGATTCTAGTCCACCACTCTACTCATTACATGACAGTGTCTCTCAAGGCCTGAACTACATGTTATATTAAAAGCATCCTTAACTAAAATGCCTACAACTAGAGAAAGACACTTAATTATTTGGATCCCTAGATCTGAATATCTCTCTGTGGCAGCACAGCTGTCGAATGTCTACTCAGCCCTCCTCCAGACTGGCTGGCTCTCTGACCTGTTGTCATGAGCCACCAGGGATCCTCCTGCTCTGGTGGTGTGCCAATCCAGGCAGGAGCTCAGCCAGCCCAGCCAGCCTCCCCCAACAGCTGACCACTCCGAGAAGGAGGTGGTCAGCTGACAGAGGTGGCAGGCTAGGCTGGCTGAGTTCCTACCCAGATTGCCACACCACCAGAGCAGGAGGACCCCCAGCAGCAAACGAAAACAGGTCAGTGGATCAACTGGCCAAGGGAGGGCTGAGCGGACACTCAGCAGCTATGCTGCCACGCAGAGATATTCGGATCTAGGGATCTGAATAATTCAGCACCCTTCTCTAACCCTGTTCCTGTTTCTCTACAAAAGAGAATTTCAGCTCTCCCTACTTGTTTTCTGGTTTATTTGTTTTTAAACTTTTCTTACCTGGAACCACTATTGAGCCAACCCCTCCCCAATGAAGTTCTTATCTGAAGGAAAGCAGCACTTAGTGTGGCAAATAGTTGCTTCCCAGGACAATTTTTAAATAGAGTGGAGTCAAAGAGCTAACATTTCACAGCTTTATCCAAAGGGTGCAAAGTGGCCTTTTCTTAAGAAAGAGATATGGCCAATTTTGACTATGTTAATTAAGAACATTTATTGACAAGAGATGTGTACTTCTGCACCCAGCAATCACATACAGTGGTGCCTTGCTTAATGAGCGCACCGTATAACGATGAAATCGCATAGCGATCCGTTTTTTCGGATCGCTAATGCGATCGCTCAACATTTTTCCAATAGGGGAAAATTCGCTTTGCGAAGACTGGTAAGCGTTTCGCTTACCGATCTTCGCAAAACGAACCCCGACGATCAGCTGTTCGGCTGCCAAAATGGCCGCCGGAAGCCTGGAAATGGCCCAAAATGGCCACACGCAGCGTTTTCATGCCCTCGTTAAGCGAGGCGAGGGCGCGAAAATGGCTGCCGGCCATCCTGAAGCATCGCTGAACGGTGAGTATTTGGCCCATTTGGAACGCATTAAACCATGTTTAATGCGTTCCAATGGAAATCCCTGCCCCGTTCAGCGATGCTTCAGCATAGCGAAGGTTAATCTGGAACGAATTAACCTCGCTATGCGAGGCACCACTGTACTAGAAACATTTCGATTGCCACAGCAGAATCAGCCTGATCTGCTTACCAATCTTTATATGCTGACACATTCTGTAGTAGAAATGTTTCAACCTTCCCCTCTACATCACCCCCCTTACAAATTGCTTGATAAAGTTACAATGGTCTGTACAGAGAAGGCTGATTTTGCTATCTATTCTAAAGATACAATTCTACTGGTAATTTCCAAATTAATTAATTAATGCACGTCATCCTCAGATATGCGTGCTCTGAAGTAAACCAGTGACCCTGCCTGCAAAACATATCCACAATATTCTCCTTGATTGCATTAAGGTAAAGGTAAAGGTTCCCCTTGACAATTTTTGTCCAGTCGTGTCTGACTCTAGGGGGCGTCGCTCATCCCGCTCTTCAAGCCATAGAGCCAGCGTTTGTCCGAAGACAATCTTTCCATGGTCACATGGCCAGTGTGATTTAGATACGGAACGCTGTTTACCTTCCCACCGAGATGGTACCTATTTATCTACTCGCATTTGCATGCTTTCGAACCGCTAGGTTGGCGGGAGCTGGGACAAGCAACGGGTGCTCACTCCGTCACGTGGAGTCGATCTTACGACTGCTTGGTCTTCTGAGCCTGCAGCACAGGCTTCTGCGGGTTAGCCCACAGCGCCACCACGTCCGTAATGATTGCATTATCCATGCACAACTATTCCAGCAGTGCTCTGACTATGCCTCCATTTTCTTTAAGATCCTTTTTCATATATTGGATAGGTACCCATTTTCAATGGTTTCCAGTATCCAAGTTGCCTCCCAAGTTTCTATAAGATTTTGCCCTTGAAAACTAAGATTCCAGACAGACAGACAGACATACGGACACAGACTGATAGACAGACAGACTTCACTTGAAAATGTTTTCTCCCTTTAGCCTCTTTTCTTATCATCATTCCACCTACCCAATAGCTGCCCTGGGATAGGGAGTAATTTCATATAGAAAGATATCTCAAGCAAATAATAATAATAAAAAAAGCACATAGGCATTCTGGAAATAAAGAGTGAAATTATTTCCTTGAATTAAGTAGAATATTAGAAAGGAAGTAAGAAAGAGCCTTGGATGTTACGTGAAAGAGAAGGAACGAAAGAAGTCATCCATACAGACAGAAAAGCACTAGAAGAGGACTTTATAAGACTTATTAAACAGAATCCAAAAAGCCTGTGCAATCTACAATTGCACCAGAAAACTAGACAGCAGTGTAAGCACCTTCACTCAACTGCCCTCACTGCCACTCAAACGTAAATCTGATGAGCAGCAGGTACTGTATACACAGACAGAAATCACTAAGCCAAGCATGCTGCATGTCAACAAGAGAAATATGAAGCCTACGGAAAGTCCAAGCCCATTCCATTTTTTTACAGCATGGCAAATCCCCTACTAACTGGTTATTCTTGTTGTTTAGTCGTTTAGTCGTGTCCGACTCTTCGTGACCCCATGGACCACTGCACGCCAGGCCCTCCTGTCTTCCACTGCCCCCTGGACTTGGGTCAAATTCATGTTGGTAGCTTTGATGACACTGTCCAACCATCTCATCCATAGGTTATTACCATACAGCAATTAAAACACTCCCAGGAAGGCTCATGTAGATGCCTGCTCTTTCATCTTAGAATTTTGCTATAGTGATCCTCTATAGTAGAACTTTCTGAAATGCATTCCCTTTTCCCACAACAAACACCAAGTGAGCAACTACCACCAGAGAAAGTCCTGTCACTGTCCATTAACACAATGAAGGAAATCAGCAAACACCTATAGGTAACTACAGGTTCTATGGGAGTGAGACAATATCAGTGTTTTCACATGAAGGCAAAGGATGATGGTGAGAAGGGCTACAGTATTTCTTATTATGTCTTTTATAGTTGCAGACTAGACAAGTTTTGCTAGACTTCATTGGTTTCCTAAATTGGCTTTATGGGAAAAAAATCTAATTACGTACACATGCACATCAATTTTCATTTCTCTAACATGTCTACATAATCCTTCCTGGCACAGTGGGTAAGGGTCTATTTCAAAATCAGGCAGAAATTATCAGCCAACAGTATAGCAATACCAGGAAAGGGGAAAGCAAC